CTGAAAAAAAATCAGGACTGTACGGGATTCGAACCACTGATCTCTGCGATACTAGTGCAGCGCTCTACCAATTGAGCTAACAAGCCAACCGGGAACAGGCCGTTAAGTTGATTCGTAATAAACCCGTGATGATAAATCAGATACACTAGTACTGAGTATATGAAGTTCATATATTTTGAACTGCGGTGTTAAATACGTATGATGCACGATCCTTCGCAGTAGATAGCGCTATTAGATAGCGCAGTAGATAGTGCTATCTACTGCGAAGGATCGTGCGTCATACGTATTTAATACCGCAGTTCAAAATATATGAGCTTCATATATTCATTGTATTTTATGATTACCTTTGATATAGAAATCGATAAGAGATCCGCCACCAGTTACTGCAGGAAGATTTGCTTGAAGAGGCATAAGTTCAAAACTGGTTCATTTTACCTTTGTATGATAACTTGTGGAACTTTCGTTAAAGGGCGGAAATGATTCTTAGCAGGTGAGTGATCATAGATATTTAAATTTTTGTTCATAAAAGAACCTGAGTTCACGCGTTTTCATCTTGCCTTCCTCCCTAACGAGAAATGCGAAATGCGACGCATCACTAATTCATTAGAAGGTAAAACGCTTCAAGAATAGATAACACCACGTACGGGATAAAAAAACGAGGGCACAATTTATTCGCGTGCGGGACATAAACACAGCTGTCAAGTACTGCGCATGCACGAGAGTCGAAAAACAAAAAGATATTTCCGAACGCGTGTTTCGCGTTAAGTGAGTAAGAAGATGTTAAACCGTAACTATTCCAATGCATAAGAAAAATGAAAGAAGGATTTTGGAGAAAGATTGAATTTTGATCTTATTTTATTGTGAGATATCCAAACTGTTTTTAACGCGTACTCTTCATTTCATGAATGAAGGCAAATGACTGAACATCTCTTCTTCCCTTTCGGCACACAGTGCCCACTGTAAGCACTGACCCGCTATTGTCGCAAATATCTTGTGTGCCTCTGGTTCTTCCTATTTTCACACATTTCCCTCGGTGTTTATCGGCAACTCCATCATAAACACAACAAAGAATAACTACGGCGAAGTTTACGGACGACTTCATCGCGCCGTCGTACAAAGAGTAAAAAAATTACGAGTGGGTAAACTAACACAAAGTAGGGTTAAGACTAGAACAAAAATGGTGCATAAGTTTCGGCCTTCTGAGAAACCTCGAGGTTTCCTAAGAAACTGCGAAAAACTGCGCCTCCCTTAGATTCGCCATGTTTATAATAGCAAATTATCCATCTAAGTGCGCATGTACAGCTATTTGACGGCTGTGTTCAGGACACACCATATAACCCTACAAAACAGTAAGAAAGAGCCGGGTTTTGAAGAGGAAAGCCTAGGCTGAGTTTTTAAAAGCTTGATTACAGCGCTTGTATAACTAAAACTTGAAAGCAGGGTGAGTTTTTCGGCCAATTAGGGGATGCCAATGTGATGATGGTTTTTACAGATAACGGTTAAAAATGTTGGCCATATTATTATTAGGGTTAATATCATTCCGTTCTTGTCACCGAGGATTTTTTAAGCTTAACTTTTTATACGAGGAAGGGTTAAAATTTGTCAATTTCTATACCTAAGAGTTAAATTTGTTGGCCGTTTCACGACTATCGGTTAGCCCCATTGAGACCCTTTCATAAGAACAAAGGTGGACATTTCAAAACTCCAACAAACCCTCAGGAAAAACCCACTTAGTATACAAAAAAAGAGCATAAAAAACGCGGATAAACAAGTAGTCATCGACTTTCTAATTCTGCATCTGGTTAGCCTGCAGTGCCGGCGTATTTTGGGCGCACGAGTGCACATTTTCGTATTAGGCCGCCATCTTAGATACGAAAATGTGCACTCGTGCGCCCAAAATACGCTGGCACTGCAGGCTTCATCAGGTTGGTTAAGAAAACACAAAGAGGCTGTTGATCCCTTAAAGCTTACATTTAGAATTTGCTTTAGGTCACGTGCGATCCCAGGCGGTGATATTGAAAAACTAAGTGATGCTATGACAGTTAAACTCATATTTACGCTTATTTCATAGACTAACCATGCTTCACGCGGTTACCACCTTTAAGTTGTAATTAATCTTTTTCAGCGGAGAAGTCCGATCACTGATGTGTGTAGAAGAATAAGATGCATCAAGCATTTGTCAAGAGGGGTAGATAGATTTGATCAGCGTACAATTTACCTAAATAAGAGGTTTGGTGGCAAATAAATGTCCAAACGAATCCAACGAGTGTTTACTGTTGTAAAATGTTAGACAGAGTCTCTCTCATATCTACGCTTTGCTTTACTGTGGGACTCTAATTTCTCTAGCCTAGATTGGATTGTAGTATCAAGTTGTTTTTTTGTTCCCTATGGATTTAGATCCACGCATTATCAACTCAAATTACTATTAATAATATTAGCAAAGTTCCTCAGGTTGCCCTAAGAGTATCATTGGAGATTGCAAATATCATTGGAGATGACGTCAATGAAAGTATGATCGTTTTAGCAGAAACCCTTTAGCAAATTACTGATAAACATGCTCCAGTTCGAAAGCTCTCGGAAAAAATGCGAACACAAGTATTTGTCATCAGTTAAACACTCACGTTATAAGTGTTGGGAAAGACTTAGCGGCACAGCTCCCAAATTACAACACAAGTCCTACTTACTTTATTCGCTGACGGTTTAAAAACAGTTTTATGTTCCGAGGTATATACAATCACGAAGTTCAGGATGCATTGATTGGCCAAAAACAAAATAAGTCTTTTATAGGCATACCCCGTAAGTTCATTCAATTAGCATGCAATTTTATACCTATCGCTTTCGCAAGGTATTATGCCAAACCTTCTTAAAATCTCAAAGATCACGCCGGTCGATTAAGGTGGAGAAACAACTGATCCGACGAACTTTCGTCCTATCTCAACACTATCAACCTGTACACAAATGTTTGAAAAACTGGTTTACAAACAACTTATTTCCTATTTTGAGAAACTTGACATTCTTTTTGAATGCCAGTTCGGATTTCGCAAGGGTAGGTCCACCGCTCAAGCCATAACTCAAATTACGGATACTTTAAGAAAAGCAATGGACAATAATTTGTATACACGCGGCATTCTCTTAGATTTCTCGAAAGCTTTCGACACGGTTAATCATAGTGTTCTCTAGATGTTTAGGAGTGATTTTGAGGGGGTCTTCGTTTTTGGGTCTTAGGTCTTAGGTCTTCGTTTTCTACACACCCCGTTAATGATACACGTGGCGACTAAGTTTAAATTTAAGATAAGTAACAACAACAACAACAACTTTATTAGGTACTTCCATAAGTAGTACGTGGCATTACGTAAGTAAGAATAAGTAATAATAATTATTTAACTTCATTTCGTCTTTAACAGAACTTCTTGTCTGATATTCATTATTTGGAATATAAAAGCAGAAATGTGTCTACATATAGATGGATCAGCGCTATTAAAAAGGAATAACACTTTAGAGTTATGATCAAAGCTTTCAAAGCAACGATACTTTCTTGCGATTTTGTTGTTAAGTTTTAATCGAAAACCATCATACAAAGGACAACAAAAAAGCACATGTTTTTCATCTTCAATTTCATTTGAATGGCAGAAAGAACAGATTCTTTGATTGACTGGGGTCTTTGGAGTCGTGTATCTTCCCGTTTCAATGTGTAATTTATGATTGCCTAGACGGAATTTATTAATGGCAATTTTGTGTTGTGGATTGTTTACTAGATCTAAAAACTCTATTTTCGTAGTGTCTTTTCTGAATGAGGAGTAAAAGTCTAATTTTCTGTTACTAATTAACTAATTAACATTTCAGTGAACAAAAGAAAAAATTGTGCATATACAAAGATGCAAACTAATACAGATAAAACTTATCGCTGCTGACATTATCGTTTAGAGTAGGTTTAAGTTCTTAAATTAATAGAGTCTCCTTTATCTTGCAATGAGTATCAGAACGACCTTTTGTGACCATCTCAAGGTGGTCCCATTTCATGTTGTGACCAGTTGACGTGACATGGTTCGCGATAGCAGATGTGTGACAGGCACTTGTGAGCCCTTTAAAGTATTCAGTTTTCCTGTCATGCAATCTACGTTTTGTTTTTCCAATGTAAAAATCCGGGAAGTCCTAATAACTAGCCTTATAAACAACCTTTGACATTTGGGAACGGTTGATCTTATCTTTGTACGGAAAAAAGGACTTGATGCCATGAGCGCTCTGAAAAATCACCATAAGATCAATGCAACCATAAAATTTGTTAATGCAGGTCTTGAGCTGTTTGGTAACAATTTTACTTTGCATCCCCCAAGAAAGGTAAAACTAAGATTGTTTTCTTTTTGGAAACTGTGGCGGTTGGATTAATCGGTATGTTTTGCTGTCTGTTCAAAACATCATTGATGTTGTAAGTTACAACCCCAGCAGGATACCCTCTCTAGATCTCTGTAGCAACAGCTTCTACAAACGTTCCGCTTGATTAAACGATACAAATTTGTCTAGACAAATTGTATGCTCTCTCCGATCCCCCAACAATGCCTCGCTCAGTCTTAAAAGTTCTACTTGAGTTTGCCACAAAGAAGAGCAGCTTCATATTTCATGGTCAATGATACGACCAAATTGACGGCGTGGCTATGGACTCGCCCTTAGGTCCTATTTTGGCCAACATTTTTATGTGTGATTTTGAGGAGAAGTGGGTCCTTAGCAACAACGCTTGCCCTACAGTTTGGTTTCGACACGTCGACGATACCTTCACCTTATTCGACAATAAAAACACAGCAACCCAGTTTCTTCACTACCTCAATAACTGTCACGCAAATATCAAATTCACCGTTGAATTTGAAGAGAACAGTACAATCCCTTTCTTGGACATTCTCATCAAACGACACGATCACACTTTCTCGACATCTAGTTACCGAAAGAAGACATTTACCGGTCTGTACACAAAATGGGATTCCTTCACACCTAGAAAATACAAAGTAAACCTAATCCGCACACTCACTTTTCGTTGCTTTCGCATCTGTTCGTCACCTTCTCTTTTGCGATTTGTTTGAGTGAACTGAGGGGTCTTCGTTTTCTGCACACGGGGGGTGGGGGGGTAGAAAACGAAGACTCTGGTCGAAATTTTGTGTAATTGAAGATCTTGTCTTCTTTACACATCTGAGACCGAGATACCCGTCTCTAGATGTTTATGAGTGATTTTGAGGGGGTCTTCGTTTTTGGGTGTTAGGTCTCGTTTTCTACACAACCATTATTAACTGTCACTTCTGAATATGTATGTCGAAACATACGAAACGTCAAGTAAAGTTTACTGATCTTGTTTTCCAACATGCGTTTTACTGTCATGTTTGTAACTGCAGTTTGTGTGCTATTTCTTATCAAGCTACGGTGACCAAAGAGAAAGAGTTTTTATGATACCAGGCTGGGTTCTGTAGAAAGGCTGGTGTGTCTAGAGTGCCTCTATCCTGGAATACCTCACCCTACTCCCCTGGGGCAAAACATCAGCTTGGGTTCCGTAGAAGGGTAGAGTTGTTTTGAGTATTCCTGTCCTATTCATTCCCACCCTACCCCCTTGGGGCATACATTAGCTTAAGAGCTTGAAATTACGTCCGTATGCGCTGATCGTTTCCGCCTTGAGGAAGACAAAACAATAGATATAAATTTTAATTTGCTTCTCATTACGGCTTCGTACCTTATCGGCCCTGAACAGAACATGGGCATATTCGTGGTATTTTTACAGCTTCCTATTTATTTGATAACAGATGTGGTTAAAAAGAAACAAATGAGGTTCAGCCCGGCGAAAAGAATAAAGGAAAATATAATGTTTCGATGTACTGACCAGGTACACACGTTTCCTTTGAAAGATAACGTTGAATTTTCGCCCTCAATTTTCGTGTTTGTCTTTGGTTTAAGGTGGAAGAACTATTTATAAAAGAGAAATATTTTTCAAATGGATTGATCAGTACGAGTTTTTCTTTGAGGGGGTCTAGCCTTGAATCAAAGAATGTCGTGCGGCTTAAAAAGAGATTGGTTTGTTTTTCTCCTTTGAAGTGCTTTGCATGATACATAATATAGGCAGAAATGTGAACATAGTAAACAATCTTCAATCGTCTTTCGGATAGTTTGCGGCGAGGGTGGGTTCTGCATACATTGCCACTTAAAATGCCATACCCTTTTTCTGTTCAGTTGCAAGCGATTGTGACAGTCTGTCCGCTTCGCCTGAGGGCAAATAACCCCTCAGCGAAATTTAATAATCGAGATCAATCAACAAAGCCTTTATCACAATTCCTTAACAATGCGTTGGTGCTAGCGAGTGCTACAAAATGCCAGTCAGATTGTAATGAACAATGTCCATCCACCTCCACTGACGTTTACCTGACAGAAACTAAAGGAGTTATGTTACCAATTCAATTCGGTAACAAAGGGTGACGTTTCTCATTGGTTCGCTTTGAATGCAGCCGTAGTGCAAAGCGGTTAATTTCTGTGTTTGATTGACAGGTCTGTTACCTCAAAATAAACCGGCCATTCCTGTGCTCTTTTGATCGTTGTAGTCAGGTTTCGTTCCAAAACAACATTGTGAAGAACGCGCACCGTTCAAATTGACGAAGCATATTTTGACGGTACACGATGGATTATATCTACAGTTTACTCATTTTGAGCTTCGCTCTTCACTCTTCGCTACGAAGCGACAAAATGACGGAAGCATCGTCGGTTGCGACAAACGGAACCACAGCGAAGGAACAAGACAGTGAGATCTTCAGTCGTCATTCTTTCCCTCGCCGAATGAGAACTCATCAGCGTCACAACCATCACTCTTCACAGAAAAAGAGAGAAAAAACTACAGAGAGCACATCGGTCCTTAAAAATGGCAGCACTTCGGGAACGCTTCAACGCGAAATTCTGAATCTTCTTGGTCTGCCTCGTCGGCCGCGGCTAAGCTTAAATACTCGTCTGCATGGCCGAAAAATGTCTGCTCCAAGGTATATGATTGACTTATACCATAGCTTGGAAAACAACGTGAGCGTGTCGACTGACGGTTTGTTCTGCTGCAATGACACTGTGACAGATTCTCGAGCGCTGGGTGCTGACACAATTATGAGCTATCTTAACCACGGTAAGTCGATGTCTGCCACAACTTCGTTTATGTACACTTCACGAAGGCTTTATTGATTACAATCGGTAGATAAACATTGCAAATTGCATAATTTCACTTAGGAAGTAGTGTATTTTCATGTGGCTCGGGTGTGCATTGTTTAACGCGGCACGAACATGTGTATAAACGCGAGAAATGCACTAAAGACATCGCTTAAGCACTTATTAGGAAAGGTGAAAAGTTGTGCGCCAAGTCTGGAAACAATTAACTCTGGCAACTACTGAAATAGTCATGTAAATGGAGTGAAATGTACAAAAAGCTTCTTAGGAGCCTTTTTTTCGAAAATTTCCTAAATATAGAAATTGCTAACATGATGGTTACTGCGCCGAATATCATTCAAAGCACGTTCACCACAGATAAACACGCGTGATTGAATTAAATGACTCAAATTTACTCCAGCCATACCGTCTACTTAATTCGCTTAGTTATTTTTTTCTTCCCCAACGGAAATCCAGCAATGTCAAGAGAACTTTAATTAGCACTTTACGGATACTTTGCAAATTAACGCAAACCTCAGAAACGTTTTACAATATTTGCACCTTCTGTAAATATTGTTGTGCCAAAACGGCCGTATGTAGATCGAAGTTTGTAGAATGAGTTATATTGCGACACAACCGGACGGTTCTTAGTAAAAACATATTTGATTATACGAGGGTAATTAATCATCAAATTAGCAAGCGTTGGGAGAAAAAATATGAATTAGCAGGCGTAGGGAGAAAAACAATACTATCTTCTGTCTGATCATTGAAGCGAGAATGTTTTCTCCAAATCAATGTAACATTTTAAAAAGCTGAGTCCGGTTTTCGATAAGAGATCTAATGTTGGCTTCTGAAGATTGATTCCCACGTCTGATAAAAAAAAAAGGTTGTTTAATGGAGCACCTCTAATTCAGACAACAAAACATCACCTCGCTATATAATACTGACTATTATGTCAGTTTTCTCGGGGTCAGTCCCCTCTCTAAAAACTCCCGCTACGTTATCTTTGTCGGCACGAAATATATCGCACATACTGAGATGACAGACTGACTTATTCCTCCTAACCCGCCTTCCTACCCACTTACTCATAACGAAAGGAGAAATGCGATTTTCATCGCGAACAAAGAAGCTTAGCAGACACGGTTGGAGGTCTTTGTCAAGTTTGAATCTTGTTGAAAATTGCGGTTGGCTGCAAATAGAGCGAAAAAACAAAAGCTGTCCTTGTTGTACGATTATCTGTAATACTTAGTGGACACAAGATTATTTAATTGCTGGTATCCTCGAGTATCAAAGCCAAAATACCGCCTAACTTTACACTGTATGTGTATAAATATAATTTCGTTGACATTTTCACTATGATTTTCTTTCCGTCTGAGAGTTAAAATGTAAACAAAACAAATTATATTTGATAAATATTTGAATTCGAAATTTTCAGTAGTTGGTACGAGTAATGGGTTTTTCAATCATTGAGGAGGGAACCTTATTATTGTGCGCGTGTTTCGTCGTTCTCATTAGATATTATTTTTAAAACAAGCTTTATTCCTTAGTGTAAATTAAATTTAAAATTGGAAGGTTTTTTTTTTTCTGTCAAAACCACTTCATAAAATTCCCTATTGTTTTGATTTACGCTTTAGATTTCCAATAATCTGTATTTCCTGACTAGACAAGCGGGAGCTGTGTAGAATCCGTGGCTAGTTTGCAGTGACGTTCTACTATCGGCCAAAATATGACAAACACGCTTCATAGGAACTTATCTTAAAGAATGTATATCCATCAACTTGAATACGCATTGTTTTGGAGGGAGAAAATATCCAACAAATCATCTCAAAATACGCATAATACTTAAGAAGTACCCTCTATAATTCGATGTTTGAATGAAAAAAATTACCATTCCGAGCATTACGGAAAAACAAACATTCCCATATGAAGTCCTGCTTTGCAGCTTTCATTTGACTTCTCGCACTGCAGCTTCGTCCAGACTAAAAGGCGAGGACCACCTTGTATCGCGCAAGTGACAGCACTACACGAAAAAAATGCTCTGTAGGTTTATTTGTTTGTCTCATGCTTAAGTTTTTTCCTCAAACTTCTTTTCCTCCCAAAATGTGTTTAACTATACTCGGACACTTTTTCTTAAAGAACTGAATTAAATCTGAACAAAAGGAAGGTCCGTAGAAAATGTCTGCCTATGGCTTGATCGAAAGAAAGATTGACGAATAAAATAGCGAACTAACTAAAAGAGGGGTACTTGATGATTTCGAAAGTGGGTGAAATTCGAAGATCGGCAGGGACTTGCGATGCTAGAGAAAGAGGGATTGAGAGAACTTAGCCTAGATTTGTGTTTTAACCAGCATACTGCTTGGTTGACGAGGACGTCAACCAACCTTGACTGCTCAGTGTCAATGTGTCTGCACCTGAAAGATAATCTGTTTGTTTTTGGTTTATAAGTCCTAAGCTTCAAATTAACAGGACGAAAGTCTTAAGTTGACAAAATGGAATTTTCTTAACAAGCAAGATTGATTTACGATTTCAAACACCGATTTCATGCCAACAGAAAAAAGTTGGGTCGTCCTCTGTTAAATTTTCAACGGCTATTCCTTTTCAAGCCATGGTTTTGTTTCAAGTTCTTCTTAATTTTCAAGCCTTTTCATGAAGTGGGATCAGTTGATCAAATCTGGAAGTGCCTATATGTTTTGTCTAGCTCCCCTTAAAATCGCGACATGAAAGTTGACATGATACTGACTTGTAAAAAGCTTTTTTTCATTCGCACTTCGTTCTGTGGGAGAATGCTCGTACCATAAAAGGTGGCGGATGACCTTACCAACAGAACGGGTCACAAATTGTTGACTGCTTTTCCTGAGCTGCTTTGGAGTGATGACAGAACACAGATAGAACAGGAAATTAATACAAAATGCGACATTTGGCGAGTCACGCGATGTGAAAGTTCGACCTTTGTATCGCTAGGAGAAAAAGACCTATGAAACTCCTGATGCTTACAAACCTTTTTTCTTTTGTCGCTCTAGTGGACGACTCTGTTAATTTGTATTGACGTTCTTCAATGCTCCTTGTTTATTAAGTTACACTCGAATTCTGATCAAAAGTCTTGATTTATAGGAAGACTTAAGGATTTGGTTAAATTCGTGATCTAGGATGGTGCTGATTTTTATCGCTTTCATCCGATTGTAAATGCTGCAAAATGTTGGTTATTTGTTAAATCTACTACCGATGGAAGAGAACATCTGAGTGAATTAATTAAACAAACAAACAAACAAACAAAAGTAAACAAAATGGTAGCGGTCTCTCATTTCGAAAAATGGTCTATTTCAAATTTAATGGACCAAACGCAAGGGTTCTCCGTTTGTTGAGCGAAGCGAACAGAGCAGGGTGGCAAACCCGCGCATGCGCGTAGAACCAACGTCGAGTGCGCATGTTCGCGACTTCTTTCTCGCATCTAATCCTCAAGGAATTGATCGCCATGTTATCTATTTGACTTGACTGGAAAGCTAAAGACATTGTCAGGGTCAGGGCTGAGGTCATACTTGAATTGAATTCGAAGTGAATGTCGTAATCTGACCGGCCAGGGGTTTTGAAGAGATAAAAAGATTAGTTTAAGGCAATTATTTCCTTGCTTCTGATTGAGGTTATTTTCAGCTACGTCTGTTTTCAAGCACAAACCGGACAGCCTGTGCATATTTGTCCAATTCGGTTGTTGTTTTTTTCTTTTCCCTTTTTACTGTCTGTACTTTATACGAATTACCGGTTTCCTCTACAGCAATTTCCTGTTTTGTAATGATTTAATTGTTATATGAATGAATGTTAATGATAATCGTCCTCTTAACTTTCGGGGAGAGGATTTGCTATCCTCTTGATTTTAAAAACAGGCTTGACGTGGAAACCAGTGTTGGCGCCCCGATTATTCACCTTTCTGAGGAATTAGAAGAATGTTGATGTTTAAAGGATCCCTTCCAACCACAATACATTGCGCGCGCGATATGTGAAATCCGCCATTTTCTCTGCCATCCGGTATTGGACAAGTCGTGAAGTGGAAAGAAATCCTCGTTCATCCGAGTACATTTGCCTCACTGAGGTCTTGAATTTCCTCAATCGCGTTCCAAATTTATTGTTCTTTCTATTTGACTAGGCATCAAAACAATAATAGAGGCGCGCAGGGTATTGTGGTTGGAAGGGATCCTTTAAATGGCAGGGGAACCATGACAGTTGGGCTTTTGCCCCTTTCTTGTTAAGTGCGTCCACAACAAATAAACAACAAATGTACCGCATGCAAATTTAAATGTAATCTGTGTGACACAGATTTTATCACTCACTACTCCGGCAACATCGAGAGTAGCACTGACTCTCGGAGTCGGATTTGAAAGAGGTTTTCTGTGTTAAAGAAATGCTGGTCAAAATTTAACCCTCAGTCTGATACTCAGAAAGACTGTATTCGTGTCAAACTCTTTCTGTGTCTGAGCGGGCAAAAATTTTATGGCCTAATCATCATTTTTTACCGATTCATTGTGTTAGTTTTCTTGTAGGAATTTTTTTACCTGAATATTTAAGCACAGCCTCATTCACCTTTGACTTGGTAACAACGTTAAGCGAATGTCTAGACCCAGTCTACTTTTACAAGATGCTTTTCTTTTTTACCATACTGTTTTATATTACAAATCTATTTCACATATGTTCATTATCATAATTAACAATTATTCCACGAGCGCGCGTTGGATATGAGATGATAGATAGCCAACGAGGCGCATAGCGCCGAGTTGGCTATAATCATCTCATATCCAACAAGCGCGAGTGGAATAATTGTTTTATTAAAAACGCCCCCAAGAAATTATTATTTTGTAAGAAGAAACTGGATTTTTTAGCTCCCTTTTGATTTTGAGCTGACGCGTACGCTTACCATATTTGTAGATTATGGTATATTGGCTCATATACCATAATGGCTTAGCCAATAAAAAGTCTTGAATTGCATTATCCAAAGATCCCGTTTTTAATAATAATTGTTAGTGTTGTCATTTGTTCTAAATCGACAGTCAGGGGAGCGCGGCCAAAAATTTCCAAGAGGCATTCTACGTTTCGTTTTAAGATGGAAACCCCACATGGAGAAAAGATCACAGCGGCAGAGTTTCGGATTTATAAAGAATCGATTTCCAACGGACACAGGGTTGTCTCCTGGGAGAACTCGACATACGAAGTGAAAATTTATCAGGTGAGGACATCATAATAGCTTTTTATCCACGCAAGCACTCCTAGAAGAGATTTTAAATTGTCGAAAGAGTCAATTTGGCAATTCTCGATGATGCTAAAACTGACACAGTCATCTCATCAAGTGGCTGCCACGATATCTGATTATTTCTGAAGGATTTGCACACAATCACGGAACTTGTGTTGATGTCCATGTAGTTCGAGGTTTAACGCTGTGTGCATTCTCTTCGTGTTGGTCCCTATCCCTTAGTCGCACTTGTCAGGTTTTTCCTATACCGTACAAGCTGAAATATGTAACGACAGCAGCAGACACACGCACATGTTGTGCAGTTGTTTCCAATCATTAATTCCCCAAAAATTTAAGGGACCAACAACTATTTTGTCTTTGACTTGCCAATTTGTACTTTTTTTATGATTCTTTTCTACGTTGCATGCTTATTACTTTATGGAAGGATCATATTTAATGCATCCTGATAGCCGACGGTTACTTGCTGCATTGCATATGCTGTCAAAGTTGGAGTCCGCTCCAACGGATATGGGCCATCACGCTCGTGGGACTTAACTCTTGCTGTTTTTTGAACATCAGGTTATTGAGCCTGCACGACTTCTCAAGGAACTGGACAAGCGGGTTCTTCGAAGCTGGGAATCTGGATGGCAGGCTTTTGACATCACACGAGCAGGGCAGGAATGGGCACAAGAAATCAATAAAAACTATGGAATCGAACTTTCTGTACACACGTACGCAGGGGTAGAACTAAACGCTTCAAGCGTTGGCTTTGTGGGTTTCCACGGCCCACAGGAGAAGCGTCCTTTTTTGGTCTCCTTCTACCGTCAAGATGGCGAACAGAAGCTGACCTATCATCGTATTTTCAATCCACATCCAGGCCGGCGTCGCTCAGCCCGGTCCCTCGGACCTCGGTTCACCAACGTAGGAGGGAACTTCAAGACCTCGAGTCAAACGAGCTGCAGCCGGAGGATGCTGTACGTCAGTTTCCAGCGACTTGGTTGGCAAGACTGGATTATCGCGCCTGAGGGTTACTCGGCGTTTTTCTGTTACGGCGAATGCTCGTTTCCTCTAAGCGCTCACATGAACGCTACCAATCACGCCATTGTTCAAACGCTGGTACATCTCATGAATCCTACAGTTGTACCACAGCCGTGCTGCTCTCCCACCAAACTCTCCGCCATCTCTGTCCTGTACTTTGATGACAGCAATAACGTGGTACTTAAAAAGTACACAAACATGGTCGTGAAAGCGTGCGGTTGCCATTAGCAACGCCAACACCGAATTCTTTAATTTCATGCTAGCCTGTGTCGTATGTTACCGTCTCAAAATATTATTGCATACTTTGACTCAAGAAGCGGCGAGAAGGAAGTTAACGAAAGCCAGATTTACAATTGACAAACCTGACGGCGTTTGAACAGAGAGACACATTGGGTTGCCATTGCCCTTTTCACTACTCCCCGCGCAAATTCATATCAATAATATATTATGGATGGCCTCACGTGTGAGATATGAACCTCTTTACTTGAGCTATAACATAACTACCATATAAACCCTTTTACTAGGCTTGATTTCCGCCGTTACCTTGAGTGGGGACCTCGATTGGAAGTTTGGGTGCAATTTTCGGACAACGGCAGTTCATCGACCCCTTTCCCATCACTTCCTGAAGTGGGCACATATTTTTTCTCAGGGTCCTTTCTCTTTCTTTCTCTCTCGGGAGGATCCTTAGACTTAAGTTAGAGTGAGCATTTGATGATTAAATAATACACTGTACTTTCTATCAGCTTGCATCGCCTATAAACCACTCGGAATGTTCATAGAAGACGAAAAACGTTTTCACAAGCATTTGAAATGTTCTTCACTGTGCTGGCGAACCGATTGAGGGTACAGTCTATTGCCTTTGTCAAATAATTACAAAATGTTTCAGTTTTCTGTGGGTTTCCCAGTGCAACAAATTATATATCTTTTTTACCAATCAGGGCCCCGCATTATAACATGGTCAGTATATAAAAACTACTTACGGTTTTAAGATATGGCAAGCAGACAAATTTTTAGAATACAGAAAATTATCAGAAAGGAGATATTACGTGGATGTAACAACAAATTCTCATTCAGATCCAACAGAGAGATGTGAGTCAACAGTAAAGATAATTATCTGTCCGATCATAGAGTAAAAAAAATGAGAAAAAGTGTGAGATCAGACTTTTGGTGAAGGGGTGTTGTTCTCTTTTACATTTCAGGTACAAAACTAAGCAATGTAGTGCATCGGTGTTCCCACGATTATTTCATTACCACAGACAACTGTTCTCGGCAAAAATTTTATTCAAGCGATTCTATGCAATTCAAGCTGTTGTCGGATTCCCATCAATCCTTTACAGCTTAACAGGAGTGTGCATATTCTCCATACACCGTCCCCCCGGTTAGCCCAATTAGTTAGAGCGCCGGACTGTGTTATGCGGGAGGTCGAGGGTTCGAGCCCCGGCTGGACCAATACTCATGATCTTAAAATAACCGAGGAGAATTTGCTACCTTTCTATAAAATCAAGAAATGGATAGTTATTCTAGTCTTCTCGGATAAGGACGAATAAACCGTAGGCCCCGTCTCCTGCAGGTTTAGGGGTAGGAGACGTTAATTTCCCACACACGAGATTACTGTGTGGTGGATGTCCTTCTCTGGGGTTACTTGAACTGTTATATTATTATAATTTGGATCAAATGCAAAGCTATCCGAGCCTCAGCTTCAGAAGGTTATAATAATAATAATAATAATAATAATAATAATAATAATAATAATTTAATATTTATATTGCGCAAATTAACATGTGGATATGATCAAATGCGCATCACAACACTTTTCGGGGGACTTTGGCCGGACTGCATCAGCAGTTTACAAACAATCGAAGGAAACTTATTTGAAGATGCCCCCTCCCCCCAATTCCCAGTAAACAGGCCAGACCACATCACAGTAATCTCGTGAGTGGGTTCTTTAACGTCCCCTGCCTAACCAAATTAACTAATTAATAGATGCAGGAGACGGGACCTACGGTTTATTCGTCCTTATCCGAGAAGACTAGAATGTCTATCCATTTCTTGATATTATAGAAAGGTAGCGCATTCTCAGTTATTTTAAGACCTTGAGTGTTGGTCCGGCCGGGGCTCGAACCATCGACCTCGACCTCCCGCACAACAGTCCAGCGCTCTAACCAATTGAGCTAACCGGGAGGCGGTTAATGTGAAATCAATATACATTGGTATCCAAAGTAATCCAATGTTTTGTCGTTTCTGTGATGGATAATTTTTCCTGAGGCACTTAACTTCAATCTGTCTAGTTTGCCCGAATGATGCTTGTTTTCTGTGGCTCTGGAAGTCCAACTGCGGTTAGGTCCGCTCTGTGTTTTCCATTCTAGACGAGTGATTTCCCTTTAAAGTGGGGAACTTCAGGCGAGAGGAGATTTCTTACCTCAAAAGCGTACGTTTGTTGTCCTTTCACGTTCACAGGATTGTAAAGGAAAACTTTGTTGGCTAATCTGCGAGGGGTTTTTAGATGATAGGCCAGAAAGGAGGCGAGAATTTTCTTGACTGAGCACGAGAAAAAAATAAACAAAGTCTTTGCCCAGTCTACCTTGGAAGAACTATGCAATCTTACCTTTATATAATGTGAATATTAACCAACCAGAAGAGACGCTGACCATAATTCCCCCAAACCAACATGGCGTCCAAGCGAGTGTTACCTGTTGGGTTGCAAACGGCTCTTCCAGTAGGCCTTTCTGCCGCGTTAAGGGAAGATAAAAAAAATACCAGACCAACAAATGTTCAACAGTTAAACGAGATATCCATAACTGCGCAAGGACTGCAAACGGTTGAAGATATTGTTAGCAAAGCGACCAATTTGTTTCGATGTTTGCAAGAAAAAAACATGGTTGTGGACGACAAGTCGAAGCAAGAAGCGCGGAATAACAACAAAAAAGTACAAGACACATTGAATAGTTTGAAAGAGTTGTTCTCTCGTTTGAGGATTTTCTATGACGAGAGTAACAGACGGATCGAAATCCCTCATGGGGAAGATTTGGAGGCGAGTTGTTTTTGTATTGTTAATGTTGTTGTTTTGATCTTGTAGTTCTCTTTCGCTTTTTTACTCATGTTGGCCCATTGGTAGAAAAAAATAACTGAAATTTTTATTAAGCCTGGTTGCTGCTTGTCTCAAAGGGTTGCAGACCGCCAGTGTTATTACTAACCAAGTAAAAAATGAGAAAGAGCTTTCTCAATTCTGCCTTTGTTTTCATTGACACCAGGTAACTGGTAGTCTTGCTACCCCCGTTTTCTTGATAAAATGATGGCCCATTATAGTAAAAGCCATTCCCTCCCTTGGTTATTAGTGGATGTTCTTTGTCAGTTGTAACTATCTTTTTGCTGGTTGCAGGAGACTGGGTGTGAAAGTGGTAGTAAAGTTAGCAATATGAATTTTCGAGTATATGTACATTCATGACGACTTCAGCTTAGACAAAGTGTGTAATTCTGCGAACCCCAACTCAAGTGGGGTTCGCGCATATGTATGAGCTCTGTTACCTAGTAACGCGTGACGTATTTTACGTCACGTTTCATGGGGAGTCTCTGATGGAAGCTGGGTAGTAAAACCTGTTTGGATGTGGTAGGAGAAACAAAGGATAGATTGAGAAATGCGAAGTGAACTACATTAAATTTGGAAAGCTTTGTTTGCTAAGTGGAAGCGTGTTACAGTTCAACGAGCAGTTTAGTAAATGGTTTTGATCTTTGAAACTCATAAAGATTTCGTCCATGAACAATTGTGCAAATTTACGCCTGAAATGAAAGTGAACTGTAATTTGAGCTTTTTGTTTACAAAAGCTTTGGTGATATTTAGAAGTAAAAGCCAGTCTTCCTAAAGCCAAGACATTGTTCACTGAAGGGAATTTTATGTAGGTAAGGGGTGCTTATTTACTGGTCTTTTTTATTTCGATATCTTGTACTGTTTCTCTTGATTTAGAGCACAATTCCATTTTGTTCTTGTAGCTGAACATAAAGAAACGAACTGAATATTCGATCCCTGATCTCTTGTGGATCACAGACACAGCAATTCCGCTCTGCATTCCAGCCGTCAAAGGACATGATCACAAAATTATCGTTCACTTCTCCAGTGCACGCACACCAAACTCCTTCTTCATTGACTGCTTCAGCTTTGAAGCCAACAGTTTTTGGAGCAATATCTCATTTTTCGTCAACTGTACCTTTTGCTAAGCGATCACAACAGGTTTGCGATCGAGAACACCAGTCAACTTGTTTTGATGAATCTGCAATCGGTCGCAAGGATACTAAGTGGTGTCCAGTATCTCTCGGTAATTCTAGCTCCTCGTTGTGCATGTGTCGATTAAAACCCAAATTCTTAATGAATTACACACTTTGTCTGTCTTGAAGTCGTAATGGGACAGTAAGAATTCCTAACTCTCTCATGAAAAGCTATGTGCTATAATGATCTTTTCTCTAGGCTCTGATTCCCATGAGAACTTCAGAGGAAGATTCTGATATGGAAATATCCAATGATACAACAGCCCTTGGAATTGAGCATGATACACTTCAAGAGGTAATTTCATATTTTGACCCTTTAAGTGTGATGTATCATCAGCATGCTTGTTATGTTATCACTCCTGAATTAAACCTAAAGGTCATGAGAATAAAGGAAATTATCACATAACCAAAGTAAAGCACGTGCTCTGATTGTTTAATTCCGTGTCCATCATTTGCCCATGGGTGTACACTGCTGACGTGAGCAAATTCAAAGACTAGTTTTCTGCGTGTGCTTGTTTTTTTCTGGTCACGCAAGATTTGTTAAATTAAAAAAAAAATAGCGCTTTTGGTACAATGTATAAATGTTATGTCATAAAACAAATGGTAAATGCGGTAGTGTACACTGTTGAGTTATGGATGCACTCGGGAGGTTTGTTAAGCACTCAAGAAGCTAGAGTCTCTCTTGGCTATTGCCTTGCACAACTCTTACGCTTCTTTCATGCTTAGCAACCTCCCACTACATCCATAACTGAATAGTGTACGCTGTGGCGTATATTGTTTGCTAATGATCAGCATCTGAAGGAGCTCTTGGTTGAAGTTGAGAATGATCATAGCAGTAGTGGTCTGGCCTGATATTTGAAGAGGTCCACATTTTCAACATAAGCATCGCACTAACAGAGTTTGGTCCTGATTCTTCCTCAACAGAAACTGAGAAGCAAGAACCAGGAAATAAAAGAACTTATAGATAAGCTGAGAACTTTGGTATGGGATATCAACACAATGATGGCTTTAAAACCAAGCTAGAATATCAGTTGTGCTTGGTTTGTTCATGGACATAGCAGCCAATATGAAACCAAACCATTTCCTTCCCAAGATACTGATTTTTAATTCTCTTTAATGTGTGTGATGCATTTCTTAATCTTACTTCTGAGAATTTGGTGCAAAATCAAACACTATTCCCTTGGTTAATATTTTTTGATATTGTCGTCACTTGTCTGCTTGCAAGTGCATCACCATTGTAAGGAAAAATGTAGTTTTTGGTCATTAAGGGGAGTGAAAGGGAAAACCCCATACACTCTCAGGCTTCTAGAGGGATGCTTTAACACACAGTAAACTGCAAGGAGCATTTGAATTTGAAAAGAAATGTAAAACTTTAGCCAGAGAATGCATCGAGAAACATAATAGCCAGAAAATGGAGTAAAGTCACAAGAAAAAAGAAATCCTCAGTGTCAGACTAAAACAACAATCAGGTCATTGAATATGTGCCAAAGAACTCTTTTAACTTTGGAGTATTTTTTGTAGATGGATACTTCTTTATGAATTGTGTCACCTTTCTTTGTATGACTCTGTCATATTAAAACATGAATTGTCTCAAGTTGAAGTTTTCTTGATGTTGTGAGGTCTAGAAGCATGTGACTTCATTCCACTAATTTATGTGTGTTTTTCTTGTCGCCATGTTCCCACCAATGGCGTAGCTCCGCTTTCTGCATGTAAACCCACATACAACCCACACTTCTCCATTCGCTCTGATGAGGGGCTAACGCTCGAAATGTTAGCTTTTTTATTTGTTACGGTGGCCAATTTACAATTATTTCAACTTAGTTGATATAACCAAATTGACTTCTTTGAAGTCTATTTAACCCTTTAACTCCCAAGATCTGTTAATTAGTTCTTATTAACCGAGCGGGCAGTCTGTATGGGAGAATCTTGACCGAGGTCACCAGTACAGACCAAACGCAGTGAGATCTGTACCAGCAACTGAGGTCAAGATTCTCCCATACAGACCAGCCTAGTTTGGTTAATAAGATGTTTATTATATGGCTGTGTCTTATCTGCCAATTTTTTATATTCTTTGTACCTTTTTTTTCTAGACCGGTCTAGATGCCGGTCTAGATGGGAAAATCTAGACCACTTTCAATATTGATTTCAGCCAATCAAATTGGTGAATTCTGTAGTTCCCAGTCCTTGTGAGACACAGCCATATAATAATTATCAATATCAACGTGGCAGGTTTATATTGATAGAGTCCGGAATGCAACTCACCCCTTACATTTTATCCTCCCTAAACAGGAAGAGGTTGTGCATAATTATAATCTTAGATCTGGCATTAGCCGCTCCATGCGTCCTACTTGTAGGACCAAGCGCATGCAAGAGTTCGTCGTGCACAAGTATACCTAGTGGCTTGTATAATTATGCCTTCTAGTATTATTGGATTTATTATATTATATTTTAGTATTATATTTTTTGTGAATAGCTCTGTAATTCAGCCATTTTGTATATTGCTGGAATGAGTCAATAAACAGTCTAAAAAAAAAAAAAAAATTAATTCTTCCCTTTAGCTGCTATATGTTTCTCAGTAAAATTATAAGAATTTGGTGTTAGATCAAGATGTAAACCCCTACCCAAGGCTGTGCTCTAAGGAAGATTGAATGGAGCCCAGTGCCCTGAAACTGTGAACACTACGGTGCCCAGCACATGCTTTTTATGAAAAAACTAAAATTCCTGAGTCACCCAACAGCAAAAGTAAGGTGCCCGGGCCACCGGGTGCTGCTAGACTACAGCCTTGTCACCTGTAAAGTCTGAGTATTTTCATTGCCTGTTTGCTGGATAATGTTTAGATATTATCAGGAGAAGTTACAAATCCATCATTTCTTGCAGAGGAGTTAGTCATCTCCAAGCATAGGCAGATAAACATATCAAGAGAATAAAGTCCAGTGAAATTGTCCTCAGAAACAAGTGTATCTGTTTTAACTCTGTAGCTCCCATGATCTGATTAGTAATTCTCCCTTGTTGCTTTCCTACTTTTCCTTTGAAATCAAGGTGAGAATTTGGAGGTGGATCAAGATATTACCTCTCTAGCTGCTAGTTTTTTTTTTTCTCATCACCTACTTGCATCATAATTTCTAAAGTTTTTTTGGGAGAATTTACATGTTAAGACATTCCTATAAGTTACATGGTTAAAGCTAGTTGTAGGCAACTAATTGAAGATCTATGTAACATTGAGTGCAACCTGAAAAAAATTTTTTATAAAAATTACCCCTCTTGTGGTTCTCTTTCTTGCAGACAAACTTTACAATCTGCTTCAATCTTGTCTATCCTGAGCCATCTTTATGAATTTGTAGTTCATTTTTGTCCCTGTATTATTTCCTGTTTTATCAAACGAATATTTATGGTCCCTTTCAAGCTGAAAATAGTCTTCACAGCACAAAAATTTGACTCAAGCTCCTATCTGCAATTCGTGTCAATATTGACCATGTTTTCATTCATGCTGGCTCTTATTTGATTTATTCTTACTTCTTCGCTTTTTATTTAATTCCACAGTCGACCATTTGAATCGCTAATCCTGCAGAAACGCCTTTGACTTTAACGTGTACAAAATAGCGACATAGTCTTCTCAAAGTTTCTCTTCTTGCACAAATGTCAGTGATCTACTAGAAACCTCAGTCACAGTGAACTTTTTCCCCTGTCTCTTCATTTTGTGCGATTCAATGATGATTTCGTGTCTTCTGTCTTCGTAATCTAGAATTGCTAAAATGGCCCTCATCTGTTCATCTGCGTGGAAGTCGATCATATAGTAGAAGAAAGCATCACGTAGAAATTTCAATTTTAGCTGCGTCTGCATTTCTCTTTGAGTCTGTTTATGGTTCTTTGGTGATGCACTTTTGTTCGGAAACTGTGGCATCGTGGCCAAAATTTTCTGCTCGCTGTTCAGGAACTGGTTGTTTGCCTTAAAATCGGTTAATTGCTTTTCCGTTTCTTTCAATTTACGCTGCAACTCAACTAACTCATGCATAGAAGAACAACAAGGTACAATCTCCTCTGGGTCGCTTCCTTGCTGCGGATTTTCAAATTCTCGAAGCTTTTCTTTTAGTTCTTTGATCTCCTCTGCTAATTTTGATTTCTCGTTTTCATCCTTACGGCGCTTCTCCTCCTTCGACTCGCTCTCTCGTTCAAGTTTTTTTCTTACTTGTTGCTCTCTGTGGAGATCTTTGCGAGCTTTTTCCAGTTCTTGCCGTAAAGTGGCGCTTTCTTTATCTCGTACTAACAGAAGCCTTCTCGTGTCCGTCAACGCTCGCTCCAGTTCACAGATGGTAGCTCTTAGTAAAGAATTCGACGTTACGGAAGCAGTGTCTGGGAGATCTTTCTTTGAATTTAACGCTCTATCGTCCTCTTCTTGTTCTCCATCCGAATCATCATCAAAGAAATTTATCTCAAAATCATCCAAATTATTGACGGCATTGTTATATTTCTTTTTCTCCGCTTGAGCTGAAGAATTCTCCATTAGGGACTTATATAAGAGGAAAATGATAATGTGGTTAACCTTAATTATCACGTGCCAGTTGAGTGGTTGATATGTTTGAGGTAGAACAAAGAGCAATAAAGAGACCTGTGGAACCACACGCGGTTCCTTGAAACGGAAGTACCTGTTCTTAAGTGGGATATGGGATATGTTACCTGCCTATAGAACACTACCCACAACAGGTGGTTGATTGCTACTTGAGCCTAGCGTAGAGGAATGTCCAATGCGTGTCGGAAGTAACTCGGGACCTTCTTTCCTCCGTAGAGGCTTTATTATGGATATCCGCTGAACGCTATGACGTCTCATGCGTTTTGCAGCAGCACTAGTACAGTAGGCATCTACCTCGAGAGAGATCCGGAATTTTCTTGATTTTGCTTAACTGAAAAATAAAAAATAAAAAAAAAACTCATAGCATTCTCCAGACCAGTCAAATGCGAGGCTAAATCCAAGCCCCACTTGATCACTCTAGTTTTCCAGTCCTCCTCAAGGTCGCTTACGTCACTTCATTCTAATTCCTCATCTTTTCCTTCTGAATCTTTGTTTTTGTACGTGCGATTAGCCCTTTAATGGTCTTGAGCCTCGTCCTTTGTTTCTATGTCACTTCTATGCATTTTCATTGCGTTTCATTTTTCGAATTGGCAGCTATATCATGTTTTGGGGGAACAATTTTTTTACGCCTCGAGTCGACTAAAATGTACCGTGGGAGCTATTGTTTTGCGATTTTCTGTTGAAGCAGGACAGTGTCAAGTGAAAGAAGTTTAAAGTTAACAATTTCTGGAGCTATACTGGCGGAGCAATGCTACTTGATTTGTTCGATAAAAAAAAGCAGAAGGAAAAAAAGGAAGAAAATTAATTTGTAAATAGATATGAGTCTAAGTACAAAAAAAAAAACACCATTGTTTCGCATGCGGAGTTTAATTGGAGGTAATAACTTTTTGCGTCGGTCTATTTTTGAGAGCCGAGGACAAAGCGCAAAAATTAAAACCTGCAAAATTAGCATGCTATTTAGCGAATAAAGGCTGATAGTTTCGAAAGAAACTGTTTGGGGCTGCGTCGGTGGGAGTAACGAAATAATTTGGATATATCAACAAAGTTGAAATGGTAAATTGGCCACCGTAATGATTACAAAAGCTGACGTTTCGAGCGTTAGCCCTTCGTCGGAGCGATTTATTGATGCTATTTAGTGACTTGAGCTCCGAGCAAAGTACGAGGGATCGGCTGTGATGGCGTTTGTTCTTCCTTAACTTGATTTAAAGTGTTGGTGGACTGGGGGATTTTAAAGGAGAGGTGAACAAATTAAAGATGTTGAAATAATTAAAACATTAAAAACCAAAGACGAAAGCACCAATCATCCTAGTTTTCTTTATTTTTATTAAAGTTATTACAGGCCCGAGGTCTTTATGAAAGGCCTTCGTCCGTACGTTTTGAATAAAATCTGTTCTTTCCTACTCATTAAGAGCAGCTTTCAGTTGAGTGTCGATCATAATTCAGGACTGGACTGATCTTGCTTTACAACACCTAATTGGTCGAGGAATCCTGCGCTATTCTTTCAACCAATCAGAGGCAAAATATGAAGCAGCGGTGGCTTCGTCATTTTCATTTTTTCAGCGCCTCATCCAGTTCGCTTATTTTTTTTTCCTTATGCGAGTAATCATGTGCTTCTTATAAAGTCAGTGCTTGTTCTGAATAGCCGCCGTTTGCCGCCGTATTTATAATTACTCTGGCGTTGGTTTCACCAGCGACACTCAATAGACATGCGCCCTGGGAACAACTAGCTAAACAAAAAGCCCTTTAGCTGCCATGCTCTTGTTTGTATGCAGTCTAACGACCTCTGTCATCTATGATGTCTATGATGTCTATGATGTGACACGAATGAAAGCCAATTTTAAATAACCTATGAGTAAGGCTTTCGTCATACTTGGATATGGGTCGTAAGATATTTCATTCCGTGAACTTCTGGGAGATCCAACTGTACTCTGCTTGGCTCCTCTCTACATAGCATAAAATTACCTATCGGAGGCATCTAATGTAGGCTATTTACCTCTATCCTACGTACGTAAGAAAGCTTTGCCTCGTTTAGAAAGGCCTTTTTCGTGATGTTTAGTTTTCTTGCAAACGATACTTTTCTATTGGTAAAACTCATGACAGGACGGAATATGCGTGCACTGTAAGTACCTCCTGTTGTCCCATACAAAAGCAGTTAGAAAACTATTCTAAGGCTTTGTATGGGACAACGGGAGGTATTTAAAGTGCACGCATTTTCCGTCCTGTCATGATAATGTATCTACCCTTCCCTACGCAGCAGTCTCTTGGAAGAAATATATCTTCAGACTTAAATAATTGATAACATACGAGCGAGTACCTAACATTATGAAAATAAAAGTGTTAGATTCACAGCCTCGAGCGACTTCTTCGCGAATCTATCTCGTGCAATTTTCTCGCGCGTCTTCCTCTCGTGAGTATCGTTGAAAGGCGCGCGCCTGACCGGACGCCTGACCGGACGCCTGACCGGACGTCTGACCGGACGTCTGACCGGACGCCTGACCGTGCAATTTCACTGCTTGCATTGCAAGCTAAGTAGGATTTATACCAGTCTCATTTAAGTTGGCGACGGAATAAATTACTCGATTCTAGACTGTGGTAATATTAAGAACTCAGTAGAAATACAACCCTTGAGTCCTGGTGAATATATGCATTTTAGATAATTCGATATACATTAAGCAGCCTTCTATTAAGTTATGAATACAATCATGTAGGAAGGAGATGGAAGACCCCCCTACAAAACTGTTGGCCGGCCTCATATGTCGCTTTTATTTGTCAGGTTGAACCCTTTCCACTGCCGCCATATATTAGGACGCCCCCACCCTCCCCCTTAATATTAGACCTATTTATTCTTTTTTTTTAAGCGGGAAATTTTCGTAATAAGAACACCTTTCATTTTATACAGGATCCAATCACGTAGAAGTTGATGGAACTTCCGGCATACCTTGTTCCCATTTCAGCGCGCGTTCAAAATTCGATGTATTTGAGTTCTTTGCGGTTGTAGTTTTGTCCTCATACACCCCCCTCCCCCCCTTAAAAATATGACCGCAAAGGCAAAGAAATAAATGGTCAGTAACCTTGAGTTTACGAGAGGCCGAAGTTTTCGATCCGTAATCTTTGCATGAAAAGGGACTTTTCATGGAACGTAACTGCTTAACAAAGCTATAATCTGGTATTTTGGGACTTACTCAAAGCCACATCTTCCAATATGATTTCTTGTGAATTCCCCAAGGAGAAATTTATCCTGAGAAAGCTACTCCTGTCAATAACTGCAAAAAGTTGTAGTAAAGAGTCCTCGAAGGCGGACATCTCAACTCTTTAACTGCTTTTTGGTAACATATTCACTGACTCAAACGTCAGTTTGTATTGAAATCATTAAACTTTGACTAGCCATGATAGCGTATACTCTAGTATCTTCCGAGTTTGTTGAAATAACTTCTGTTTGTTTTTCCTATTAGACTATCTGACTTGATTGTCGGCCTCGTTTCATAAAAGGTATAAATATAAATAAACTTACTTAGTTTGTTTGGAATACAATACCAGTTGATGATATAAACTTTTCGTGTGTGTTTCCTATTTATGAGAAGTGATGAAAAACTCATTCAATTAAAATTTCTCCTTCGGTGTCAAACTCACAAGTAACTCAATTTAACCAAAAAGACTACGGGATACTTCATTAAAATTAACTAAAAGTTTTCTTTTGAGTTAAGAGAGTATTTAAAAAAACTTGTACTTCGATAACTCCTTTTTTGAGTTAAGAGAGTATTTAAAAAAACTTGTACTTCGATAACTCCTTTTTTCGCTGCGGGTGGCTCGATGCGACCTCCCGCCAAAAGCGCTAATCGCGCCACCTTTTCCCGCCAAAAATACTGATCAGACAGGTAACGTTTTAGAAAAGAAACGCGTGGCAATAAAGGAAGGAAAAATCATAAACCTTTGAAATTTACAGTTGAGATATCTATTGCAATCCCAAGTTTTAGCCCTTCAGTAACACCCGTTGAGCTAGACCCGAATTAAAAATATAACATTATATCATTTCCTGACTATACAAATCATGTAATTTTTCGTATCCCTGTCTTCGTCCCTTAGACTGTTCCAGTTTAGCTAATATTACAAGGGCTATCCCGATGTGCAACTCCAACCCTAACCTTACTTCGTTCCAAACTCTTGAAAGCTCGTTTTAGATTGCTGTACTTTTGTTCTGTTACCTGTAGTTTCGTTTTCAATTCAACCATTTCTTTCATGGCACCACACAGCGACCCGCAATAACAAGTCTGTCCCGTAGCACTTCCATCTTCAAGTTGATCAGCATTCATTAGCATACTCTCTCGCTCCGCTTTGTAAATTGCGATATCTTGTTGAAGTTGTTGTATAACCTTTTCCAGATCGAGAACTCGCTTCTGAGAATTCTTGACTTCCTCATCAAGGGCGGCGCTGACGTTTCCATCGCTATTTCGACGGCACGAATCAAGGTCGTTTCTTAAACTGTTAATTTCATTGTCCCGTTGGGCTAACAGCTTTGTAGACTCGCATAACGCGGTTTCTAGTTGACTAATGGTTTCCCGTAAAAGTGTATCTGCTGCGGGAGTGTGCCCGCATTTCAAGTCAAACTCCTCGAAGTTTTTCTCGGAAGATTCAAGTCCCTCGCCAACTTCCCGTTCGCCAATCGCAAGCCGTCCTTCGATCTTTTTCTGCTCATTCATTTGTGATTGATCGTCCGCCTGTCTTGGGTCGTTTGATTTTAAATTCACCTTGACGTGTTTCTGAGCCCACAAAGAATTAAACACTAACGACCATCTTTTCAAACACCACTAGGATATTCCAGATTAAATTGCTTCAACAACACCACAACAATAGAGACGGAAAACAATTAAGTTTGTTTAAGAATAGAGGCACAAGTCCAGGGCATGAATAAATCACGTACTCACTGGAGCGTGACGTGCTTGCGAAGGTATGCTCTGTCGAGCAGAAATGCCCTCAGGCATTTTGAATTAATGGCCTTATTATTTCTTCCTTATCGTAATGTGTCAAATGCCATGACAATAAAGTTGTCCAAGAGGGGTGTACACGCCCACCATGAAATGGAAGTAATAATGACTGCGACGGAAATATTAGGTTCTTCGCTTATCATTGGGATGAAGAAAAAATGTTATTGGTCATTTTACTGTGTAACTTGCATGGTACTGCTCAATTCTTATTTTTTTAGCGTATCTCCATTTGATTTTCTTTTCCTGCAGTTTTCTTTTTTTCGCTCTGCGCGGAAATAGCGAGGCTTGCCCAGATTTGCGCGGCCAATCTATGTTGATCGCGATTAGTTACGCTCAAGTCAGTGAAGGCAAGACGTTTCACGCTTTTATTGTTATCATTCGTGAAACAAAAATTTGTTAGCAAGGATTCAGCGATGATAAGTGCGGGTTTTGAGCGATTTTTCTATAATCTTGTAGTCATACCACACACTGTGGCTTAATGATGGAAAGTAAATATTGTGTTTTAGTGTGCGCAGTTACTGTGAATTGCAGGTAGCTAGGTACACTGCCTTTTAAATCAAATCAACAAGAATTCGGAGTGACCGAGTCGTCTAAAAGCAACTGGAAAAGCACACAAATGTTGTTCACATTTCTCGACTGCACCTATTAATTTATAACCTTTTGAAAGTTGCAGTGCAATTTTTGGAAAAATTACACTGACAATAAGAAATAACAGCAATAGGTAAAATATCCAATCTGGATCAGGAATAAAAGACTTGTTAATACTGGAAACTTAATCATACCCGCAGGTTTGAGTTAAAAATATTTGATTAACTGATGAGGTGCTCTTTTCTCAAATGTTGCCTTCTTATCGATGAAAATGTTAGTGTGCGCGCAGATTATAATACCAACAGGCTCTGACCATTGCTACCTGTTTGCCCCTTTGAAAACTCAGCGAGAACAACTCATTGCCTCGTTTTCAGACCGAGTTTGTCCACAAACAATTTTAAATCACTCTACGGGTCTAAGCAAAGAAAGCTATGTTAATTGCAAGCCCAGAAGACCTCTTCATGCTTGATTTGTCGTGTAACGCATTGTGAAGAAATGAGCTCAATTCAAAACACTCTTACTTTAAGTGAAAGTGATCATCCGTTGAATGCGTTCCGGATAAAATTTCATCCTCCAGAAATAAATCATCGCGAGAAATCAACTGAAGTAAGCACTACTTTTCTGCGCGCAATATCGAGAGGGGTTATGGGAAATTATTTTCTCGTGCACAATGTTGCACATAATGCGAAATTCCGGGGATCCAGATACATAACAAATTAAAAGTTGCTCAGTTATATCAGGATTCACTGAGAACGTTTGAATATTTGCTCCTCCACCTTCTCTCCACCCCTCCCCTCAGGGATCAATCTCTACAAGTTACCCTGGTAGGGGTGTTAAATAAACAATTACACAATACGTGCAATCGTTATGATGAAAGACCACTGAACCCGAGAACCATGGTTTTTACTGAGATAGAACATAACAAAATTGAACTCGTGAACCGTCTGATTTCATCACGCATACGAAGTTACGTTGGGTTGAAGTGTTCGTTTTATGCATCGCTGTTCTTGTAAGCTCGGGGGGAATTCTCTACTTCTGATGAAAACTTGAAAACAGTCAATCTCTTTGTGGTGTTAAAAAAGTAGCGAAAGCTTCGTTTTTTAATCAACTTACCCAAAAACATCGCTTTGCTTGTTTAGTCATCAACAAAGAATTAGATAAGTAACAATTTTAAATATCTTCTAAAGTGCTTTTTAATTTTCCAAATAAATAAATTTCAAACTTTATGTCGTGGTGTTCTAGAATAATTATGTTCATAAACAGTTATTATCTCACAGTTATTGGTTGCATGTGACTTCAAGGGTGGTCTTTGTCAAATTAGACTTCCTAACGAGATCAAACAACACGGCGTAAAATAATCAGCGGTTAACTGATCGAAACAAACTTTTTATCGTTCAGTTACGCGCGCGCGTTACGTTTGGGTGATCCGCCATGGAATGAAAAGAAAAAAAAAAAAAAAAGAAAAGAAAGAAAGAAAAGAAAAAAAACAATTCTTAACCCACAAAACATATCCGGTAATGTGAAAATTTTACATCAATCAATCCACATTGAGATACCTTGAACGATATAGAATCCTCGTCTCAAAGCCCTTGGACATCATAAGCAAAACCTCACCTCGCCCTCCCCATCCCCCAACCACCGCCCTCCAGTCCGCAGTCCTCAGTCAGTACTGGGAAGTACTGGGACGAGGTAAGCTGGAAGCGCGGCTGCCTGAAGTTTATTGATGAGAAACTTGTAACTGTGTTCTTTGTGAGATTATGTTTTGTGGTGGTTCTAGGCCTTGCTGTTTTATTACTGGAGCTAGCCGTGGTTTTGGAAGATCCTTGGCTGTCACATTAGCACGCCAATTCTCTAATTCTGGAATCGAAGGAATTTTTATCCTCGTCTCGCGTTCGGAAGATGGGCTTGAAGAAACAAGAAAGAGAATAATTGATGTCTGTGTTGGAGCTAAAGGTAAAGCTGTAAGAGTAAGATCTATCGAAAGCATCTTGACTTAGTCTCTTTTGGGAGCCGGGAAGGCGCTCTGTACAGAGCACTCGCCCTCCACATTTTTGGTCCCTTTAGTCCGGGTTTTGATACATTTCAGACCTGTATACCACATCTGGCATGGGTCCAGTTTATCGAGGATCGTTTATCGAGGATCGTTTATCGAGGATCGTTTATCGAGGATCGTTTCTCGAGGATTTTTCCCACACATTCTCTGATTTTCTCATCTGCGCAAAAATAGGAAATATAAATTCCAATTCGACCTATGCTAAATTCCTTTGATAAAAATTCAAGTCTAATTCCCGTCAAAGAACATATAAAAGGCTGATTATAATTAAGCGGTTATTAACAAAATTATCTAAGTATGTTATATTTTTCTTTTGATGATTTCGTTTATAGAGACTGACCAAATCATGTAATAAGATTTCTGTGGCTGTCTGTATTCATGTATGCTTGGACTACACTTTATTCAATAGTTCACATTATGGCTACTAATCTTGGAGAGATGAGTACACTGGAAGATTCCATAAAAACTGCATTATGTAAGGTATAAGTAGCATTTTACAACTTTGTTCTATACACTGAATTAGTCAGCTTGGTTGACATAAATATGGACCTTTGAGTTGGACATTAACCCTAAAACTCCTAGAACTGATTAACATAGAACTTCTCCTTAAAAAAAAAAAAACATAAGGCAAAAAAGTGATTGAGACTACTCAAACTTATCAGGTAGAATTTGTTATCTTGATCTAACACCAAATTGTTGTAACAAATTTAGAAGGAAATGTGCAGCTAGAGGGGAGAATTAACAGTCAGATCTTGGAAGTTAAATTATTGTTTTAAAGTTAAATTATTGTATTAAATTATGTTTAGGGTATCTTTAATTTTTTCAGGTTTCTTTTCTGCAAGTACTTTAACTGTAGCTTACCTATCTTTGTGTAGGTTATCTCCATGTTCATTGATGTTTTTCAAGGGAGAAATGAAAAGTGAAGAGTGAAAATATTTCCATCTGTGTCTATAAGTGCTTGAATTTGAAGTCCCTTCCACACCCCCTCCCCCCCAAAAAAATAGGAAAAAAATGTGAATAAGTGTCCAAACAATAGGTTGTGTGGAGTACAAAAGTGACCCAGCTTTCTATAACACTGAGAAAAATAGGTACCCAAAGGGCACATGTGTGGGATACATAATTTGCATAAACAGACATGAGCCAATAACAAAAATGTCCATGGGATACCACAGGTATCCCACACAAGAGTTGTTAGAATGTCGGGGTCAATCTTTTGATGGAGTGAAAGGTATGGGTGGGGAAATTTGCTTTTGACATGGTCACTTAGTATTATGAAAACAGATATAGACTAGCCCTAATTTACAACGAATCTCTTCCAGGTTGAATCATCCAAAGTTACACATGCCTTTCTTCTGAATAATGCTGGGTCAGTCGGAGATGTGTCAAAATGTTTAAAGGAGGTTTGCCAGAAAGTTGATGCAGTGGCAGATTACTTCAACCTTAATCTTACCTCTCCCTTTTTTCTTATGTAAGATTACATCATTCTGTAATAATTATTAGTTTTTGTTAGTTTGTTCCAGTTTGACATTATTCCACTGGAGTGGGGCTACCTGCTATGTAAAAATATTTAAAGTCATTTTTAGTCTCTAGAGTATTGCTTTATTGGTCTGGAAACCTTGTAATTTTTATCCCAGCTTTTAAAAAAGCATATATTAAAATTTCCTACCCACTGGAAAGTGTGATTCCAAAGACTTACTTATAGATAATAACACATTTACTTAATAATAACACATAATAGTTAATAATAATAACACATTTTATTTTCTAGTGCAAAGTTTCTCCATTACTTCAAGGATACAAGGTGTACACTAGTTAACGTATCATCCCTTATGGCTGTCCAATCTTTTCCATATTTTTCTTTGTATTGCACTGGTAAAGCAGCTCGAGATATGATGTGTCAAGTTCTGGCTAAAGAGGAGGTATTTATCCTTTGTAATGTTTTGTGTTTTTGTTGTTCTGACCTTCACAGTTATGAAATCTTTATTAATAGCCCATTTCCGAATTATCCTTGGCTCATTTTGAAAATGAGTCTTGGTGCTCATCCTTTCATATGATAATCAGTTTTCATTCACATGCAAATTAAACTCATTTTCACAAGAATGGTTGAGCACCAGGCCTCGTTTTGAAAAAGAAGCCAAGGGTAATTCGGGAATGGGCAATTCTCTTAACCCTTTGTCCTCTAAGGGTGACCAGCATCTAATTTCTCCTTACAATATCACCCCTGAATCACACATCAAGGACAGGAGAATACAGGAAATGATCACCAGCTTAAGATGCTCTGAGAGGGCTACCAAAGAAATCTTTCAAACTCAGAATTAAAAACAAACTACTAAGTAATAATAATAATAATAATAGTAGTAATAATAATAATAATAATAATAGACTTTAATAGCTAACACAATTACTGGTAACCCAGTAGTTTACATTGTGGGCTGTAAGTGTACTCGAAGATGAAGACTCATTCATTGAGGTTCGCAAAATCATCTCTAAGCCAAATTAAAATGTCAGTAGTAGTAGTAGTGGGAAGGGAAGAGAGAGAAACAAACAAACAAGCAAAATATCATCTATTAAATCACATTCTTTTCCTACTTTTCTTTTTATTTTATTAATATTAATGTTAACAAGCTAATGATGGACTGTAGCTATTGATGGACTGGCCTGCCTGGACTAGCATAGCTATATGCGGGCCTGTCTGACTTTAAAGGTATGTTTTTATGTATTAACAATAATAAATGATGAAGATGCTCTTGATTGTTTATCAAATTCTCCTTGTCAACACATTCTCAGAACTAATTTACAAGGAAATGTGTAGCAGCTTGACTCTGGGGAAAAATTAACAATCAGATCTTGGGATTTAAAGGGTTTTACCTTTGGTGTTTATGCATTGTGTTGTCTTCTTTCAGCCCAATGTAAGAGTGCTAAACTATGCTCCTGGGCCACTGCTTACAAATATGTATGAAGAGATATGCAGCTCATGTGGTAATCAGGAAATCGTTGATATGTTTAACACCAGTAAAGAGCAAGTAAGTACTGATTGAAAGATTTAATGTGCTGTCATTAGTACTTTTCAGACCTTATTATGATTCTATATTTAAAAATGATGATCCACTTAGAGTTCCAAATTTAATATACACACCTATAAGCCCAAGTTGAGTACTTATTTGTTCTATGGTTGTGTTTGTGTAACAGGACCCTGTAGTAACTTGCATTTTACACTAACTAGGAAGATATTTTGGTTTCAGTAGACTTCACCCAAAGCAATTTTCAATCAGGTGTGTCAGTACTAATCCTGGATTGCTTATTGGTTTTGTGATTGCTCCACAAAACTTGCATCCTTTTCCCAAGCGATCATATGAAAAGCTAAAACTAATCCTAACTGTTGCCCTGTTTTCCTGTGCTTTACTTAGGGTGCATTCACACTTGGTGCTCAAGCACGATGCCCGCGTACAATTCTTGATGAGCACTAATGTAAACATACCTTTTTTTTTTTTCAAGTAACCATGCCAGAATTCGGGCACTGTACCCATGCCCAAGTACAAAGCCTTCACCTTGTACTCAGGCACTGAACTGGGCAGTGATATGTTGGGTACCCTGTGTCTGAACACAGCACTATTTTGTGCCGGTGCCCTTACACTAATGCTTGGGCACCAAGTGTGAATGCAGCCTCAATTGTTTGGTTGTTCTTACTTTGAGTTCTCATTTGCTCCTAACTCCTTTCTTTTGATTGGGTGTTGTGATTAGTTTGGTTTTGATTTTGAAAGTCAATCAAGAAGTGCTTTTGTTACATGTGCTCATTAGGTGAAGGGCACAGTTTATTAGAGTGTGGGTGCTTATTTGAAGAAATGCAGTATATAAATGTCACGATTTGCTTATTGTAATCTATCAGAGTGAATGATGCTTTTGAAATTTGTCATTGAATCCCTTCTCTAGCCATGTTATTTAGCTATTCATTTCATCCATATTTTTTCTCTAGGGTACAGCACTAACTTCAGATCAGTCTGCAGAAAAACTTGTGAGGATTTTGAAAGAGAACACTTTTATCTCTGGTTCTCATGTTGATTACTTTGATTAAAATGTCATGTATAATGTGTTCTTATACTTTTATTTCAAGATCTAGGCATGGTAAAAAATGTGGTCATTTTACTAAAACAGAGTGCCTCTTCACATTGTCTAATCTGTGCGTTAGTCAGATTATGGAGTTAACTGGGTGTCCAGGGGGAACTAGCAGTGTTCATCAGTAGCAGTTGTAATTATGGAAGTATTCCAACTTTTTTATTTGTGTCTTTGATGACCAAATGGGTCACAAGAATCATGAGAGAACTGGAAACTAGTGACAAAGAGCAGTACATCGGGGGGAAAGTTTATAAACAGAATAAAAACTGAAAACAAATTATGTATGTTTGATAAGTAATATACGGATGTTTCCTTCTTGTTGAGGGTAAAAAGGGAGTCAGATGCTATAAAAACCTCTTGGAATAATAAAAGAATCCCGAATTTTTTTAAGTGCAAGCAAGATGACCTTATCCCTTCCTAAACCTAATTCTGTAGTTCAAAATTATGAAGACAAACCATCACTATGTGCTCATCTTGTTTTTTTATTCGGGAAAAGATTCTATAGAATACCTTACAATAGAAAATTTCTAAGTTTTTGTTATGTATTCAATTTAGTTTTAAAACTAATTATAATTTGTTTCATAGATCATTTTGACCTTAAGAGATAAAATCATCTGCAGTTTAAGAAAATCAGAAAGAAAAATTGCTTGCGCAGTCATGAGGTACTGTTTCCCTCTGCTTCCTTTCTTACCAGGGTCACTGTTTGGTCAGGGCCTCCTTGAACTTAATCCAGTTGTCCTTTTTCTCCTTTCTGACCTTGTTCACCCTTTGGTCCTACAGCTCCATCTGATCCAGGTATGCCTTTTATTCCAGGTGGCCCAGGGAGTCCATTTGTTCCACGTTCTCCTTTTGGTCCAGGCATTCCAGGATCGCCTTTAACACTGATACAAGGGCTACCCCTTGTGCATGCTCCATAGTCCCCTTTTGGTCCTGGATCACCTTTTCGTCCCGGTAGCCCGGCTTCACCTTTTTGGCCTACAACTCCTGGGAGCCCTTCATTCCCCTTATAGCCACGGGGTCCAGTGGGACCTGGAGCACCTTTCACTCCTGCCTCACCTTTGCTGCCATCATATCCTGGGTACCCTTCACTCCCTTTGTCCCCTTTCTTACCGTGGGGTCCAGCAGTTCCAGGTTCTCCTTTTAATCCAGGCATTCCAGGGTCACCTTTGATCGCTCTGCACCTGGCCCCTCTAGTGCACACTCTGTTGTCTCCTTTTGTTCCAGTTTCACCTTTTTCTCCTTTCACCCCAGGGTATCCCTCATTACCTTTGGGGCCCTGTGGTCCTGCGATTCCAGGTTGGCCTTTTGGTCCTGGGTTTCCAGGTTCACCTTTGAATCCTATGCACGCACCCCGTCTTGTACAAGCACCAGTATCACCCTTTGGTCCAAGTTCACCTTTTTGTCCTGGCAGCCCAGCATAACCTTTCTGACCTTTTAACCCATCGAGTCCTGGCTCACCTTTGATGCCAGGGAGTCCTGGAGGACCATGTTCTCCTTTTGGACCTGGTATTCCTGGGCCACCTTTGCACAAGGCCCTACCTCTGCATGTGCCACGTTCTCCCTTGTTTCCTTTCACTCCTTTTGGCCCTGGTAGGCCATTTAACCCATCGAATCCTGGGGATCCCCGAGCACCCTTCACACCAGGATAACCCATCTCTCCCTTTTCCCCAGCGTACCCTGTGCAGGAAAGAATTAAAAATCCCTTAAGTCTAGATGAAAATAATGAAAAGAAGTCAAAGTGAGAAAGAACCAACTGTTCTCAGCAGATAAGAAACGCAAACGGGTGAGACAGGAGTAATTATCTAATTTTACCCTCAGGCTTTGACTTTTTACCTTTCATAGCATTTAAAAAATGCTTATTACGTCTAAAACATGAATTTATAAATTAATTATGACATCACCAAACTTACCTTTTCTTCCTCTTCGTCCCCTGGGTCCAGCGTCACCTTTTGGACCGGTGGGACCTGGTACACATATTTTCTCTTGAGGTGAGCACAGCTGCGATGCTGTTAACGATTTTAGTTGTACTTTGATTTCCCTACGAATATCGTCCGAGGAAACAAGGTTAGGGTTGGGGGAATCTCGACGATTTCGTTGTTGTGAGGCAACAGCTGTTAAAATGTAAGTAAGAATTATGAACGGATTAAAATTGAGTAACTCTTCAATTTTATTCTCGGGCTCCGACTTTTTACCTTTCATAACATTTGAAGAGGGGGGAGGGGGGAAGGGCTTATTGCGTGATACAGGATTAAGTGTTTTTAATTTCGTGACTAGTGAAAATACGAAATTGAAACCCTATAAACTGTGAATTTTTTGTTTTTCGCGATACTTGAACCGTACGGTTGTATATCTGATTTATCGTGATACGTTATTTCTACTTTTTGATGTTCGTGAAACGCATGCAAGTTTTTCCGGATCGCTCCCTTCCACCTTTTAGAAAGCAAGAGATCGAACAAAGTTTTACCTTGACCATGACCGTTCTTGTCGACTTCACTCAAACGAGTGACAACAGCCTCCAGTTCAGTCACTCTTTCCCTCAATAACTCCAGGCAGACGGAAAACCCAACGCAGATCCCTAGAGCCACTATGAAAATAACTACTTTTTGTGGTAGTCTGGACGAGCGACGGCTTTCTCCTCCATCTTTAGCCTTGGAAACAGTTTCCATTTTTCCTGGAAAGCCAAAGCGACGTACGCCTGCTCGCCCAACTAACGGTGCAGAGCGTGTTTTATAGAGAACTGGGGATACCGAGTGGGCGATCGAGGAAGAAAACTGATTGGTCGCGACTGATTAATTGACTGACATGGTTCTAATCACACAGACATACTTCCGTTCTTGGGCGTTTTTCGTTATTATTTGCTTTTTACATAATTCCTTTGCATTATGCTCTGATGGATGAAATATCTAACGATCGCATCCGTGTGCCCGTTTCGGGGCATCAATTATGAAAGCTCCAAAGATGAATGCCAAATGCCTCTTTCCCCTCATCATTGACATGTCCTCTTATCGATTGTGTTACCCCAGAAACAATATCACGGACACCAAAGCCGCAATTCTGCTCTGAAAACGGATACCTCCGTCACTGCCACAACAACACCTAAGCTTAGGTAGTGACCCAACCATAAGTCTATAAACGAATTATTCCAAAGTGTTTTAAGAGTTTTCTGGTTTTTTTTTTGTTTGTTTGTTGTGCTGTACAAAAGCCTTTACTCTAAAGAGACCGCGGAATGGATAGAAAAGAACAAAAAAGGAATTAGCACACCATGAGGAAACAAAAGCGGCGAAGTATGGAGAAGATTAGTTCGGACTGATAAGGAAAACAAACTATTACATTGGTAAATTGAGATAGAAAAATATGCAAGAAGCAATTTTAAGCCAAAAAAGGACTGAACTAGGGTGGGTAAGGACAGCAATGATTGAAAGGAATTCCAATTAAGATAACTACCCTAAAGAATCAAGGCTACATTTTCAGGATTACAGTGGAACCTCGATTTAACGAAGTGCCAAGGGACTGGGGAAACTGGTTCGTTATATCGAGGTTCTGTGGCATACATTTTACTGTAACTTAAGCGGGGCTAAAACTGAAGTATCGTTCGTTAATCCGAGGACTTCGTTAAATAGAGGTTCGTTAAATCAAGGTTCCACTGTACATCAACGGGAATGGAATTTCTTTTTTTGCAGAAAAGCTAGTGGAACATTGGAGGACAGTTGAAGGGAATTTTGAAGTGGAAATGTTTGCACTCATGGTGGATCCTTATTGCTGGGGGCTCATTCTTGTATAAAGGAGGTGCGAGCGAGTTCCTCACTCAGAAAATTTTGAAACTTTAGATACACTTTTGCGTCATTTGGCGCATTATGATGCATTTCGGCCCCGCCGGAGCAGTCTGACGTCACTCTATTAAATTTTGAAGGGGTGGGCTAAGCGCCGGCTTTGATATGATATAGTCTTTTTATTGGATAGTCCAGTTTTTGATACGTGATCGTCTCAGACCATCTACCTAACCGTAATCATAACCTGGAGCGCCTTGCTGTTAATTCTTTGATTCTAGTTCCGCCGAATGGGGAAGATATAACAACATCTAATTCTATAATTGGATTTTCATGTTTCGACATTATAAGTAACAAGTAAAAAATTTATTGGTTTATTCCTTACAAACCTATTAAAAGGGATCGTTGAGTAATGTTACAGTAAAAGAGAAAAGTATACAACAAAAATAAACAAAACAAAACAATGAGATTCCACATATTACTAATACAACCGTATGATATCGATGTCTGACATAGGAACAAATGTGCTAAAACATATTTCCCCTGTAACAGTCAACATTCTTTAGAAGATTTAGAGTTCCTGATCTGTCTCCCTCCACGCAGATAAGTTTCATGATGTTGTTGAAACATTAAGAGGAATTAGTTGAAGCAACCTCGCTGAGGCGGAAGGAACCAAGAATCGTGTATCACAAAGGGTTCTCTTGCTGTTAGAGCAAACGTGCTGAAGCGGAAGGCCCCAAGATTCACTAATGTTTCACAAAGGCTTCTACTCGCTGTTGGAGCAAATGTTGCTGAAGCGGAAGGCACTAAGGGTCTTACACAATAGAAGACTCTCCTTGCTACCAACACGTCTACAGTTTTTTTTTTTTCTCTCACCTTTTCCAATAACCAAACAGCTACGTTTTTATATTCTCACGTGTTTTGTTTGATTTCTAACCTTGACCGTGTGATAATCTGGACGAAGCTTGAAATCAGACGTAGTCCCCGTGATCAGTAAACACTCAAAGATATGAACCTTGCGCTGATAAAAGGGCCAAAAGTTTCCAGCAAAACACTTAAAATTGTGATAATTATAGAAATATGAAATACGAGAACGGATAACATCGTTACCGAAGGACGAGAGCGCACGAAACAAAGTGGCTGCGGTAAAATGATCCAATTCTGTGGGAATTGAAAAATGGGATTTCCGTGTCACGGCACTTTTAGTGCGATCTGTTCCGAGTGAGCGTCAACTGTGTTATAGAAACTGGATGACCAATTCATGGGAAATCAGCCCTGGTGCATGCTTATGGAATTAACAGCCGGCAAACACTAATAAACAAAATGCTGGGACGGGAGATAAACCACGCCGGTGCCCTTTCACCCATCTACCCGCTTCCTTCATGATATCATCCTGCATTGAAACTGACTTGTTTGGAGGGAAAATTCTCACAGAGGAACAAATATCTTTACAACAATTCACTCGATGCCACAATCAGATTTGTTGTAAATTTTTGTGAAGGGAAATGCACAATGTTCCAAGATCCGCTCATCTATGAAATATCATGCAAAAACCCTGCCACAAAAGACGTGTTTTGTCTAAGTTTCTGATAAGTTGCTTACCACTAAGTCCACTTAAGTCGACCTACAATGTTAAAGAAAAATTAATTTCATGAATGCTATTTAATCTGTTACTGTTTGCATTTGCACCATTTTAACTTCAAATGAATTTAGTCTTTTGCCCACAGATATTGTTTCCTATCATTCGTGTTAATTGCATCAATCTCCCATGTCCTTTGGGATTTTCTTTCTTTCTGTTTGTGCCAATATTCTTAGCAGGGAAATTAACTTTAGGCTCGATTTCCACCGCATACGCGCTTACGCACTTCCTGTTTACTCGGGCTCATTTCCAAAACAGTTGTTGGTAATCGAGACTTAATAAACATTTCCCCGGGGCTAATTTACAGCTGTGACCGGCGATAACTTCTGGATTAGGATTAAATCACCCATTCGTTTGACCCCCGCGTTTCCAGTTGTGCAAGTGTCAACTAACTCTAATTGCAACCTTGTTCCCAGGTTCTCTCATCTTCCAGCCCCCTGAAGCGGGAGGGGCCAGGGGGGTAGAGGGGGGGGAGATGAGAGACCCTGGGAACGAGGCTGAGGAACGGTGCAGATTTCACTTGAAGGAACTTCATACTGCACTGGCTGGAATTTGTCATTAATTAGTGATGTATTGTTCAGTTACCCTCCATATTTGCACAAGTAAATGAGACAGGCTAATGAGTCTATCTAAAAAGTAATAATGGAAAGAAAGTAAGCCATGAGAAAATGGAAGAAGGTGTTGAAAAAGAATCCCTTGTCTGGCGGAGTTACAGACTCATCGTGGGTTTGAACAGCGAATTTGACAGTATTAGAAGGAGTTCCCAGTCTTCCAATGTGAAACGCATAAAAAATCCTAGCCACGCAGGGGCGTAGCCAGGATTTTTCAAATGGGGGGTCACAGAGGCTACTCACCATTTACACCGCTGCTCTCCCGCGTGTATCAGCGGGCTCAGTCGTATTATCGCGGCATGAAGGCCCATATCAATGGCTTTTACGGCCAAGATATTGTCATGGCGTTTTCGCCACCTGAATATTGTAGGTTGTTTGCTCTAAAAGAAGACCCACCAAGGGGGGGGGGGTTACGGGCACCCTAGGACCCCCCTGGCTACGCCCTTGCCACGCCGTGCCTCTGAAAATCGCTCTCTATATGCATTATCACTCCACATTCAGCCATCTCTAACAGGAATTATAAACGACTTATTTCATATTGCCCATGTTACCAGGGACCCTAATATTACCTCTTTGATGCCTCTCATATGTACGGAGCTACGAGACTACGAGAGGACCTCTCTTAACGAATATAACTTTTCACAGCATTCTTCAAGGTGACGGTAACTGAATCACGTTGAAAGAAATTGGATCGCAATATCGTTTTTAACTTATGTTTTGCAGACAGGGTGGCTTAGAATTAGGTCCTTACAGATTTTGCTGGTAAAATTAGCATATCATGCCTCATGCCTCTAGTATTGCTCGGTTTTTTCCCAAATTATGCTCAAAATTATGCTGGTTTTTTAAAGTAATATATTAGTTTTTTTTCGTAAAGTACGCTTTTCAAAAAAGAAACATAAATTAAGTCCAAATTATCTATTCATTGTTAATAAAATTTGACATCTTCCTTATCTTGAGTAAACACTCGCTGTGATAAAACACAATTAACAACTGCCATTTTGTTGTCTCTTAAAGCGGGAAATGAGAGAGACGCATTCTTTACTTCCGGTGTGCCCAGCCTCTAAACGCCATACAAAGCAGTACTGTGGCAAAACATAACAATAAAAACAGACTAAACTATGGACTGAACTTGAAAAAAATCAATATCAGAGAACAAGCAAATCCTGAATCTGATGGCGTTCCTTTCAAAATACCAGAAATAGGCTGCCTATGCTGGCATTGCTATTTTTGTAAAAGTGCAAAAATTATGCTCTTTTATCTAACTTCTGCCAAAAATTATGCTAGCAAATTAAAGCTACTATAATCTATGAATTTGCAGCTGAAATTTACCAACGACCTCGAGTAATTAACTCAAAGAATCTAGCACCAGACATAATTCTGACTGGATCTTGTACACTTTTCTAGATTTTTCGGAGAAAAATATCACATAATATTGTCTTCTGATAATTTTGGCACGCCCTTTACCTTTTGCACCCTTCCTCTACAAAAAGTGATATTATTATTAGATATTGTTTATGCTGTTAAGTGTTGAAAGGATTTTGTTCCAAAGGTGTGAAAGGTCATTATTTTTAGCACAAAATTTATTTTCTAATAAGCGGTACTCCATCAACACTTACCCTGACACTTGTTGCACTTGTCAGGTATCGTATTTTCGCGCCGTTTTTGCGGATTGGACAACTTCCATATAAGGTAGGCGGAACACCAATTGCCGTGTCACTCTGGTTCCCCGGATGAAACGTGAATAAGTAATGAAAAGATATGGCGCCGCGTGAGAGTTGAAAACTAAGAGTGAAAATATCCTTTCAGTGTTAGTATGAATGAAAAACATTGAGCGGAAGATTTAATTTATGGCGTCGTGAGGTTCCTAAATCTTCTTAACCGAAAGCCGGTGGTGTGGTAATACTGCGATCAGGCCAGAATGAGCTCTAAAGTTAAGGTGGCCGTTCGTGTTAGGCCATTTAATCGCCGAGGTAATATGGAATACTCAGTACGTTTTGGTGTAGAATGCCGGCTATGATTTTGTGTTGTAGTCGCGCGGATTTATTTGATTTTCTTTTATTTTGACAGAGATCGATTTGGGAACAAAATGCGTCGTAGATATGGACGATACGCAAACGATATTGTTTTCATCGGCCTCAAGAGACAGGTCTGTGCTAACGCAAGAATCTGAGAGAGAACGTGCTACTTCATATTTTTATTTTCACTTTATTTGTATATTTTCACGAACTCTAGGTATTGAAGTTTCAATCTGACACCGGAATATTGCTCTGACTGTCAAGATTTACAGTTTTATCGCTTCTTGATAATCATTTTCTCTCATTTTGGAGGTGGAATCGCGCTTGTAGTTGGCTCCTCGCGGAATTTTTGTTTTGAATTTTAATTGCTCTAAAATTATTGATTTTTTGAAGATATTTTGCATTCTAAACCAAACACCGTTACGTAGAATTTTGTGCATTGCCCATTTCTTCGTTTTATGAATATTTCTTTTCTCGCTGGTTTTTTTGGGAAGATCTATTAAAGACACATTTTAAGTGATAACACTCCTATTTCCGCTGCCACTTTCCACGCTAACGATCGAGGTTTCTTATTCTGTAATGGTGAATATTTCTCCACTATCTTATCTTCGGAATTCAGTTTACTTCTGTTTATAGCCTAGAGAATACTTGACAATGTCTCGCTTTTCGATCGAAGGTTTTGTCAGCGTTTTATGTTGTGCCCCATTATTATATTACACAAATTTTCTCCCTATTTTGATAAGCTGTGGTTAGCACTGAAAATCTACTCAGCGCTGCTTGTTAAGAGAAGCGGCATTATCTTTAGACGTCAACAGAATCACTGTCTTGATTCGTTGGATAAGCTTTCGTCTTGCTGTGATTTACAGATTTGTCGCATTTTTACGTGAAAGTGCGCTCGCGAATTCTATTGTTCAGTGATCGATCTGCTTGTCGGCAGAAGCTTTTTGTGATAGACAAGTATTGTCCACTGAAAATTTGTCTGAAGTGTACAATCTCTTCAACTGTGTAGTCTACAAACTGCTTGAAGGGGGCCATAGCATTTTAATTGGAACGGAAATTATTGGTGATGATGAGTCGTTCGAGAATCTTTCTCTGCCCACTTAGCCATCGTTGTAAACAATGGCGAGCCGATTGATTGCTTTCAAAAGTCCTGTAAACAGAATGGGCTTAAAATTAATAGAAATGTAAACACAAGACGAGCAATGATTTGCAGAGTCAAGAATTAACTTCCACTCGTGATATTTGTATCGAGTGTTGATGATTGAATTCAAAAGTGTGCTAAATAAACGCTTGTCATTCTGTTCATGTAACGATTCCAGTGTTGTTCGTGCATATGTCGTTTTCCTTCACGTAATTCTAAAATTTCTGATCGTTCCATGTACCTACGTAATAAAAATCATTACGCATCTGGAAAGCTCAATTTTAGTCACTAATTTCGGTTTTTCTTTTTATTCACGTTGTTCTTGGATTTTTTTACTGGAGACAGAAAGAACACGAAGGTATGTACATGTAGCAACAAGGTCAACATAGTCTGCATTTTATTAAAAGGAAACGAGGATTTAGCCTCTGCCCACTTCCTTCCTATATGCATTTAAAACTTATTTTGATGTTTTGTCTCGGTTGTTTTGAAAAATTGTTATGCAAAAAGAAAAATGAATCTAGTGTGAAGTTTGAAGTTTATTTACTCTGCACCCATGTAATCCTCTTGTTTATCACAAGAGAAAAGAAAAGAAGATGAGATAAACATTTAAAATCATTTGCCAGATTGATTAATTGTGGAAATGTTTAATACAACCACGTATAAAAATTGAGTAAAATGGCATTAGTGCATCACTGAAAACTAAAAATATGTGCATGATTTAACAAAATTATAATAATGGCACTATCAGATCAATCCTGACAGAACATTAGTTTTTGAATTTTATTTATAAATCTCTGAATATTTTGTTAGTTATCTTTTAACATATTCTGTGTAGATACAAACTTTTTAAATTGAAATGGAGGGTGAATTTGATCTGAGAAAAAATGTTTAATTATTAAAGGGTGATTATTTGGGGCCTAGTTTTCAGTTTTGTCTAACTCCACGTACCATGTACATGTTTCCCTGTAAGTGCGGCACATAAACCAGACCTATTTAATGAAGGATAGCCCTTTTTTCTGTATTTGATTGCTTTGCATTTATAATGTTGTGTGTTCTTGAAGTGATATCACTGTTTTGATTAATGGCATTCCTTGCATTTTTTTTAGACTTTTGCATTTGACCACTGCTTTTGGTCAATGGAAGAAAGTAACAACAAATATGCAAGTAAGTACATACTTGCCTTTAACCCCTTACACTACATCCTAATATCAGTTTCTTTATTCTCCATACTGTTCTGTATACTTTTCTTAAGGTGCGGAAAAGGAGAATTTGTTTAATGATCATTTCTTTTACTCTCACGACCTCCATGTGTGATTCAGGGCTGGCACATTGTAAGGAGAAGTTACATGTACATGTTGCAGTTCAATTTTATCCTTGGTTCAAATTTTATTTTCCTTTGTTGTCTGTCATGTTAATGTATGATAATGAGTTTGAAACAAAGGAAAATGAAATTTGAACCAAGGATAAAATTGAACTATAACTTACATATAGATGCAACTTGTACATGTGGTCATACCCAGGGATAAAACAGTTATGAGATACAACTATAGCTGGTTGTTGATATTTTGTATGTAATTTTTCATTTTTTACTGTCTTTGAATTTTTCAATATATTTTGTTTAGCACAGTTGTAAGAAACTGTATCTAAAGGTGTGAGGAAGCTTATAGTTGATTAAGTCATTAAAGGAAGATCAAATGCTAAAAACAGTTGAAAATCACTGATGTGACAATGGCTATTTTGCTATTTTATTCACTTGTCTGTTGGTGTTTTTGTAGTGTTTTCTATTTTTCTGTAATGTTTATGTTTCCTAGGAGCCCCGGTTTAAATTCTTCATTTCACATGCATTGATTTTAATCCTGTTTGAGGCAAAACAAGTCAATTCCTTTTTAAATCCATCTTAAGTTTAGATAGTAATTTCTGATATAAGGGATAAGAAGGTTGGGCAAATTGGCAGTTTAGTATTTAATAAAAGCTGTTCCAAATGAGAACTTCCTGGCTTGAATTTCCTGAACAAGGCAAGTGTAGAAAGCAGCTCAATCCTTCCAATTTCTAACCTTGCCCCACTTATATTGATTAAGATTTTTATCTTTTTGGAAATCTTGATTCAAGTTACAGTAGTTTGATACTCTCTTTTTCTGAAACATGCCTTACGTGTGAATCCTAAAGGGAGATTGGGATTTTAGGAAATTTCTTTGTTTTTTAAAGAACAAAATATTAATTCAGGGCTCTTATAAGAAAATGTAGTTGTAGAGAAATAGTGTAGTAAAAGTTAGAGTCTCAAAGGTGCTTGCTATCAGACAAAATTCTATATCACTGTTTTACAACCTGAACATGTAAATTAAGGAAGTTTATAATAGTCGGGCATTGAATATTTTTTCTGTTTCCATTTTGTGTATCAGGCCAGGAAAAAGTTTACAAGTGTCTTGGTGCAGATGTTTTGGAGAATTCGTTTGAGGGTTACAATGCCTGCATTTTTGCTTATGGACAAACAGGTAAAAAGAGAACACATACATGTAAACTGTGATATACAGGGCAACCATATGTACTTTTCGATAGGTTTGTCTTTCTTGTTCTTTAGATGGTTCTTAATGATTATATTAGACTTCATTAGAAGAGATTGGGCCATGGTGTTTAAAGTCTGATTAGCACTAACACAGAGTTAAAATTTTAATTCAGGTTCCTCCATTCCCTTGTTCATAAGAGGTTTTTTGATAACTTTCTCTATTCTTTTTAGAGCATCCTATTACCAAATTGATGACAAAAAAATTGTACTGAATTTTCTTTTAAAGCAGCTTTCAGATCTGAAATCTGATTTAATTATAGAAATTATACTGAATTTTCTTTTAAAACTTTCAGATCTGAAATCAGATTTTGTTATAAAAATTGTTCTGAATTTTCTTTTAAAGCTTTCAGATCAGAAATTGTTATAATCATGGGTTATCTTAAACCAGCTTTGAACAGCCCAGCCCTTACACGTAGCTTAAGACTTTGCCAGAATTTTTTGGTTGAACTTTCAAAATGGATCCCATTATCCATTTCTGCTTAAAACCAGAACTGGATAATGAACAAAGTATCAGGGAAATACAGTACAGCAAAGTGCTATGGGAGATGGGCATGTCATAGCCTATTGCAGAAACGTGAGAGGACTGGGAAAGAGTGTGGTAGTTTTCCATTTGTTTGAAAAACTAAGATATTCAAATGAAGTATCAACTGGATTTGAGAGTCTTAAGCAAGAATAGAAGTATTTAGTGGAGGAAAATGGCAAAATGACAGCTCTTCAAATATCACCTAAAATAGAGAGTTTGTATGGATTGGGTAGACAGGCCAAAAAATTTTAAGGGTTTGTATGGAATTTTTGCAACTTTTGCAAGGATCTGATTTGGACACTTTTCTGCTGAAAACTCTCAAACTTGACTGGGTAGCTTTTCATTCAGTAACATTTCAGTTGAAATGTTTAGATTTTCAATGAAATCAATATAAGAAACTTGTCCCAGTCCTCACACATTTCTGCAATGGGCATGTCATGAGGGGGAGGGGGTAACCTGCTAGGTAGAAACATGCATTTCAGGCGGAGTAACAGTGCTGCTCCCCCATTCATACAACAGAAACAGCAATAAGTTGTTGCACTAGTAGGCTACATGGTGACTTCACTCACATACCTGGCATCTCTTTCTTCTTGTTTTAAGGATCTGGAAAGACGTACACCATGATGGGAAGCCAGAACCAGACAGGCCTGATTCCCAGGCTGTGCAATGAACTATTTGATAGAATTTCAGGTGTAAGTTAAACTTGCCATAAATAAGTGAAATGAAAGTCATGAGGAAAAATGCATGAAGTCAAATGAAGACTTGGAGTTACTGTAATAGTACACTTGTGGTACAACTTGATCTATCAGTATTTATGTTCATGTGTGTAGTGCACAGACTCTCCTGGGAACTCCAGGTGGGAGATTTGTTTTAATCTCCTCTAATCCAGACCCTTCCTCAGACCAAGACATAACTTTCTCTATTCCTGTTTCAGACTCTGGCTTTTAAAAACCTTTGTTGTTTCTAGACTCTGCCCCTGGCTTTGTTTAAATACCATAAAGCTTCAAAGTTGGTAAAACTCAAACTAGAAATTCAGCTTGAATTATGTATTTTCAACTGGTAACTTATCTTTCTCTCTCTATTATTCAAAGACAAATATATGTACATATGTTTTCACTACATCATACGTGATGTGAGACAAAAATGATAAAAAATTTTGTGGATATTTTTACACCAAAATGGCAAAAAAGGGGTGTATCCTAAATGGCTGCTCGTACAAGTACATGTGCACTGTACACTGTACCTTTAAAGCCAATGCAACAGATTGCCCCAGTGCCACTTCCTTCTCATCTCATTTTTCTTTTGTGTTGCACAATCCATCACCATTCTTCATTTATCAACCTTCCTCTTTTCCCCTCTCCTCTCTCTCTCTTTCACTAAATTTGGGCTTCAGGAAGGAATGCGCATAATACTTTTAATAACTTAATTATGTAACTGTAATCTTTCCATTAGAATGAAGATGAGAACATTACATACAAAGTGGAAGTCTCCTATATTGAAATCTACAATGAGAAAGTTAGAGATTTATTATGCCCAAGAGGGTATGTCAAATATATTTTTTATTATAGTAGGTCATTTTTCAGTTCTGTACTTAGTAGCCAAGCCTTTGATTTAAAGTGAGGCTGAAGGTGACCTTGTTGTGATGGAGACCAGTATCCAGTTAGCATGATGACAAAGTGATTTACATTTGAAAAGCACCAACATTTGTATCATAACAAGGTCACCCTTAGCCTCATTCCTGTACAAAGGATTGTCAATCAAGCATGCAACTGTAAAGTGGACTATTTACCCAATGTATCTACAGTGTGAATGGGTATGATTGAACAGTCAGGGACCAGTACATGTTATTGTAGTCACTTCAGCTACAAAAACTGGGATAAGCTTTTGGAATGTGAAGCATACAAGCTTACCTCTTCATTGAGAGCAGCAAAAGGGGGGGTCCTGGCTGTGTTTCATGCACAAATTTTACAGAGTCATGTGTCACATGTTTGTAAAAAGTATATCACGGGTCACAAATTTAAAATGGAAAATTTCTAATGTAACCACACCTTCCCTTTCTGTAAAATTCAAACATCAGTCAGAACCTTTATTATATATTAGAAAATGACTGGAGAAAGTAAGAATGCTTGTAAATCAAGAGAGAAGAAGGAATTTGACTTTGCTTTCTGTATCTTATACATCCAGATGTATTTATGTAATCAAATGATACATTTTCAATGATGTTTTTGTTTAGGAACCATGCAACACTACGAGTGCGAGAACACAAGATCTTAGGACCTTATGTAGAAGGACTCACAAAACTTGTTGTGTCATCATTCAAGGTAAGTTTCAGGACAGCTAATCCTTGTAAAATCAAGATGAATCAGAATTATGAATTGATTTTGAATTATCTTTTAGATAATGAATAAGTCCTATGATTTCATCCTCTAGGATATTGAAAATCTGATGATTGAAGGCAACAAGTCAAGAACCGTTGCTGCTACAAATATGAACACAGAGAGCAGCAGATCACATGCAGTGTTCAACATTGTACTCACAAGATCTGAGTATGATAAAGAAACAGAGGTAGACACAAAACTGTAACAAAAATTTTAACTCGATATCTTGAATTTTTTTGAAGAATCTATTCCCTTTCTTGGAATGTTGTGTGTTTTTTACCATTTCTGTAAATCTCTGCACATTCAAGCTCCTAAATCTATTGTAAATAACATGTATGTGACTTTAAATTTTTGTTTTGTTTCAGTCTGTTGGTGAAAAAGTGAGCAAACTTAGTCTTGTAGACTTAGCAGGCAGTGAAAGGGCCAGTAAGAGTGGGGCTGAGGGAGAGAGACTAAAAGAGGGCAGTAACATCAACAGGTACATGTTCACGTACCTTGTATATTGTGCCCCTTAATTTGTGCTCCTCTGTGTTTGTTCATGATAACTAGACAATGTTTTAGTGTGGTCAAGCTGTTTACTGTGGTAAAAAAGTTTTAAATTTTGTTCCAGATCCTTGGTTACTCTGGGTCAAGTTATTTCAAGTCTTGCTGAGGTATTTGAGATTTGTCAAATTTAATTCTGTCTCTTAGAAAACAGTTGTTTCAAGTTTTAATACTGTTTAAATGTGTTCTTCTGAAATTAGCTTCTCTAGATGTTGCGATATGTATAAAACTCTTTTAAAACATTTTTGTTTAACTTATTTCTTTGCAGTCTGGAGGTAAAGGAAAAAAGGCACTTCATGTACCATACAGAGATTCTGTTCTCACATGGTTATTAAAGGTAAGGAATACAACAAAGAAACAAACAAAGAAACAAACAACAAGAACAAATTTGTAGTCCAGGGAGAATGATAGAGGTCTTATATGTAATATGACACAATGTACAGCACACTTATATAATACATTAAGGTGGTTTTATGAATAAGGAATAGTGCTGGAATCCATTGAAGTGTGGGTTCTGAATAAACAATCAAATGGATGTCTGAACAAAGAAGCCAAGTTTCTGTTTTCCTGCTGTAGAGATTAGGAGATACACATTTTATGTTAATTGCCATAATTTATTGATCTGAAGTGTTGTTAAATTTTAGAACTTAATTTCACATAAATTTTAGGTTGGTTTTGAGAGCTTAGTACCTATGAACAAATCAAGGTTCTTAAATCAGGCATTTTCTTAAATCCTTGTGTGGCCTTTCTAATGTTGCTCTCATGTATTCCTATTATCAGGACAACCTTGGTGGCAATAGTAAAACCGTGATGGTGGCCACTGTTAGTCCTGCTGCAGATAACTATGAAGAGACTCTCTCTACATTACGATATGCTGACAGAGCAAAACGTATTGTTAACCATGCTGTGGTGAACGAAGATCCAAATGCAAAGGTAAGTAGTAGTTGTGTCATTTTTTTGTAAATTTCTCCATTAGATCTGGTGTGAAATAAGAATTATTTTGGTTATGAGTAAATGTATTGGACCCAGCTGGTAACCCTGTGTGGTGTTCTTGAACAAGACACAGGACACTTAGCTACTATAGTGCCTCTTTCTACACAGGAGTGTCAGGGAAATTTGAAATGTTGAGGGGGGGGAGTAGCGGTTAGCCTGTAATGGGCAAGCATCTCATTCAGGTGGAGTAGCAATACATTTTAGAACTTTAAACCACTTGTGATGATGATTTTTGATGCACACTTTAACAGATTATCCGAGAGTTGCGTGAAGAAGTTGACCGTTTAAAGAGGATGCTTGCAGCTAAGATTGCTGGGAAGTCGCACATTGTTGAACCTGGAGAGACCACCATTGAGATCAAAGAAATGTTGTCCGAGAGTGAGAAGCTGATGAGTGAATGTACAATGACATGGGAACAGAAGGAGAAACAAACAGAAAAAATTCAACAGGTACATTCATCACAATTAATTGCATTAGAATGTCCAAAACTGTGAATTGAATTGCTATCATAGAAACTCCCTGGTTTTGTTTTTTCCCTTTGACTCAGAGTTAAAGTGCCCCACCCTGTCCAAAGTGACTTTCTGCCCTCTAGATATAGTACGGTGCCCCCTGGAACTTTTACAAAGTGGAAATTATCATCAGTAGAGGCTTGTGTTGGTTGTGTACTCTTTAAGTTATTTGGTGAAACAACTTCAAAGTAAAAAAAGGATTCCTGTTTACAAGTAATTTTCAACATGATTAATAAATTACTTTCTACTCTCACTTAACCATGTACATTGTAAGTTCCCCTCAATCAAAACTCACTCTAAGGAAAGTTAAGTTGCAGAATTTTTTACGATTTTCTTTATGCTGTTCAACTCAGGAAAGACACAAGGCTCTTGAAGAGATGGGCATCTCAGTACAATCCTCAGGGATTGCAGTGGAAAAGTCCAAGTTTTACCTTGTCAATTTGAATGCTGATCCCTCAATGAATGAGCTGCTTGTTTACTATCTAAAGGTAAAAGAGTATCTTCATATTTGACAGCTGTGATTGATAGTCATGTCATTTCCATGGATACCTTATGACAGTAGCAAGAATGCTGTAATTATCAGTTGAAAACTGTCATTTGTGAAGTGTGGTGGCAAATTTTCCCAAAACTTGTTTGAAATGTAATATTTTTGATATTCCATTGGGAATTTTGCCAGGTTCAGTGATGAGGAACTTCCCAACAGATATCTTAACCTTTTACACCCAAACTTAAATATTCATGCATGTTTGCTCCACATTGTTATCTTTACATTTTCTACAGTACTGAAAAGGATTCAGGCTTTTTTTTTTTTTTTTGAGATGTACATTATTTCTAATTTAATTGGTGCTATTACAGTTTTAGCTTCTTTTATATTGTCAAACACTTTTATCATGAGCCTCTGGCTTGGGGGATTGGGAGACCACCCTCTGTGTATTTTTTTACATTAAATAAATTATCTTATCTTATCTTAGGAGAATTTGTTCAGTGCTTTCTTAAATCAGTGATCATTTCCTTTATTCTCCTGACCTTCATTTTGATTCATGGGTGATATTGTGAAGAGAATTTGAGAGCCGGTCACTCCCGGTCACTCCCAGTGACTCATAGGGGATGGAGTGTCCATGCAAAATCCTGCCTCTTCTTTTCTTATAATTTAAAAGAATTATACAAAAGCAAAATGAAAGTATTTCATTCCAATACGTGAAGCCATTCCTTTCCACAGCCGTTTTTTTCTTTCTTTTTCTTTTTTTTTTTTGATGAGTATTGAAGTGTGAGGGCTCCCAAAAGAGATGAGATGCACCTGAAATACGCTGTATAACATGACTACTGTGTACCATCTTGTACACCCATGCTGACATAAGGCCAAGGAGAATGTGCTATATGATAAAAATTAGGCATGAACGAATATTATCAAACAAACTATCACTAAGGTTCTTAAATTTTTATGTAATTTTTCTCTTACAGGAACATACTATTGTTGGAAGACCAGATGCAACACATGCACCAGTGAGTGTAATAAACGAACATAGGTGACCATTTAGAAGAGACAGTAGAAACTAGGGTGGAATTTAGCATAATATGGAAAATCCAAAACAAGATATTTACAAGTTCCCCAAAGTCTTGGGAGAATTTTGTAAGGTTTTCTTTTCGAGTTTCAAAGGGTTTGGAACGATTTTGGAAGGGTTTCTGAGAGATTGGACAGGGTGCCTCTGATCCATCTCTGATAGTTGACGGTTTGTGTAACAATTTCCGAGTAATTTTTACAAGGTTTCTAGATGCTCTCTTAACCCTTTCACTCCCAGAAGTGATTAACATGTAACTTCTCCCTTTAATATCCATACATTATCCAATAAACAGGTAATGAGAATACTCAAACTTATCAGGTAGAGGTTGCTATCTTGATGTAATGCTAAATTCTCCTAACCAATTTACAAGGGAATGTGTAGGAGCTAGAGGGAAGAATTAACAGTCAGTTGGTGGCAGTTAAAGGGCTGAGGTTCCTAAAGGGACTGGCTGGGCTGGCTAGACTGGCTAGACTGGCTGGACTCATTACATGGACTGGCTGGACAGCATTATCATTATCATTACTGGCTGGACAGCATTATCAGGCTGCTAGAGGCGCCTGATAATGCTGACGTCCAATCTCAACCATAGTAGCACTGTAGACCTTAGCAATTCAGCCTATGCTGCTATTAAGGTATCGAATAAACCATTCACTAAGATATGAGAGAACTATGGGATACTGTGGACAGAAGAGAACTATGGGATACTGTGGACAGAAGAGAACTATGGGATACTGTAGACAGAAGAGAACTATGGGATACTGTGGACAGAAGTTTCTGCTTGACTGTCTTGGTAAGAGGGGCAGAATTCACTCAGACTACAGTAAAGTGATTATTCAATTATTATTGTTTTTTTTCTTTAATAGGATATTCAACTGGGCGGCCTTGGAATACTACAGGAGCACTGTCAACTTGATATAGAAGGCAATGAAGTGTATGTTACACCGCTGGCCAAAACAGGGTTTGTATATTGTACTTACCAAGATTGCATGTAGAAAGGGTCTCAAGTATTTCTGTGTTTACAGTAAATTATTTGAACCTGGGGGTAACAGGTAAATGTGTAGTGCGATCGTCCGGGAGAGTGTAGTCCTGAGAAGGACTGTTGTCGGGGGTGGTGACTGGCGTTTCGACAACCTGAGCGGAACTCATCATCAGAGCCAAATGAACACATGTTTGGGTGTGTATTTTACAGCTGTAAGCTAAGCTGACTACCCGACTGTTTCATTTGTTTGTAGGACATGTGTTAACGGAAGACTTGTGGAAGAGAAGACTCAGCTCAAACATGGAGATCGCATTCTTTGGGGAAACAATCATTACTTCAGAATAAACTGCCCCCGTTTACCAGGTTTGTAGAACTGAAATTATTCCACAATGCTTATTCTTCTCTTCTCCCCTTCCCCTCCCCCCCTAGCTCCTTAGGTTACTTTCTTATTGGAGTGAATTACTTGGTGGCCATGTGTCAATTTTTAACCTCTGATCTCTACGTAACCTTTCACCTTCCACTGAACAGGAAGTGAACAGCAAGTGGAACAAACGGTTGATTTCCAGTTTGCCCAGACGGAGTTAATGATGAATGAAATGAACGCAGGTAAACGTTCATATGATTGAATTTTTTTCTTTACATTTCTCAATGTACTTCTCTTTTAATTGCTTGCCTACTGGATTTTAACTGTGGTGCACACCCACTAGATATGATATACATGAAGCCCGCGTGGCCTTTTTCGGGCGCTCGACGAAAACAAATGCAATGTAGTTTGATGCCGATCAGCATATCACATCGCGGTCAAAGCCTCCCAGTTACTTAGGGTGTTGTATAAAGATAATGATGTGTACATGTACATGTACATGTACATGTATGTATGTTGTTAATGGTCATCAGTCCGAATAAAGAAAAGAACGCAGTAATAATGTTTGAATCACATCTTATATCGCTGTTTCTTTCTCACTATCTTGGCCAGGACCCCTCAAAGAATCTGTCAAAGCTCTTGAAGAGCAATATAAAGCTGAAAAACAAGGTAAAGTGAAAAAAAAAGAGAAAATAGTCTGTGAGATTCTTAAATAAATGTACGCAAGACGTTTTTAAACTTTTTTCCCTTGATAGAGCGCCTTTCCGCAAATTAAAGCAAAACCAAAACCAAAGCAATACCATCGGACGTTCTAAACAAAAGAAAATATCGCAATAAATCAATGAGGACATAGAGTGAAACAAGCATTCTGCTGGACGCGCGAGAAAAGTCCAATGACCAAGTCGTTATTGGCTTTAGTTTCAATTCTGATTGGTGGAGAGACTGGTGCGAGGATTTTGACCAATCACATACCGTATTGTAGCAAAACCCGGATTACCATCGACTTTCAATGAAAAACTGTAATAATTTTCGCACTCAGGAGCCTTAGACAAACAACGTCAAATGTACGAAGAAAAGATTGAGGAATTACGTAATCAAATGGTTCCATTGGGACGGCAGAACATGGGAGAACGAACAGTCAGTATCGGCTCTTTCAGATCCGGATACGGATCATCGAGGATGTCATGGTGTGATGACAGGTGATTACCTCTCTCTTCCAGTTCCTCGCGGTGAAAACTTAGTGTTAAAGCAAAGGTTAAATACTGAAAATGTAATGCTTTGTCTCCTTGCAATTTTCTTTAACCAGCAGGGAGAATCTGATTCAGTTTGAAAGAAAACCCTTGGTGCTCAGAGAGGAAGTGATCAAAGCTAACGCTCTTGCTAGGGAAGCCAATCAGTTGAGTGAAGAGATGGGTAAAGAAACGGAATTTGCTGTGACGCTTCAGGTAAATTCAAAGATTTGGGTGTTACGTTTGTTTTGATATAGCGTAATTTGATAGGTGTGCATTTGCTGCTATGGAAAGTGGGTAATTTGGTAACGATTTAACATTAAATAGCTTTTCAGATGTGCGTTTCACCTTGTCAGATAACTAATCAGTAAAATGTGGCTATTTATTAGATTCCAACATCGAGTTTAAGCTTTGGCCGGAGCAGACCTGGATTCAGCAGTGAAGTTGCTATTGTTGTGAAGCACAAGTCGAAAGGGACACAGAGTAAGTCACTGTTTATATTTTACTGTTCTTACCCAGTTTCCCTGTCCTGAACAACCTTATTTTTTTTGTTTATTTTTGTTTTTTTTGTTATTTTTTTTTGTTTACTGTTCTTACCCAGTTTGCCTGTCCTGAACAACCTTATTTTTTTTGTTTATTTTTGTTTTTTTTGTTATTTTTTTTTGTTTACTGTTCTTACCCAGTTTGCCTGTCCTGAACAACCTTATTTTTTTTGTTTATTTTTGTTTTTTTTGTTATTTTTTTTTGTTTACTGTTCTTACCCAGTTTGCCTGTCCTGAACAACCTTATTTTTTTTGTTTATTTTTGTTTTTTTTGTTATTTTTTTTTGTTTACTGTTCTTACCCAGTTTGCCTGTCCTGAACAACCTTATTTTTTTTGTTTATTTTTGTTTTTTTTGTTATTTTTTTTTGTTTACTGTTCTTACCCAGTTTGCCTGTCCTGAACAACCTTATTTTTTTTGTTTATTTTTGTTTTTTTTGTTATTTTTTTTTGTTTACTGTTCTTACCCAGTTTGCCTGTCCTGAACAACCTTATTTTTTTTGTTTATTTTTGTTTTTTTTGTTATTTTTTTTTGTTTACTGTTCTTACCCAGTTTGCCTGTCCTGAACAACCTT